AGATTTTTTAGAAGGGTTTTTGGGGAGAGAGAAGAAGGAGGTGGAGAAGGAGGGAAATGGTTTTTTTGAGTTTTTGATTATTTGGTATTTAAGAAAGAAAAATAGTATTTGTAATATTTTTTTGGTTTTAATTTCATTAAGGATATTAAAGTAATTTACAATTAATTATTTATTTTTTATTTTTTTGGTATTCAAGTAAGCAAAGTTGGGATTTGAAATAGTGATCTGAATTTCATTTCATACTTAAGCTAATCAGACACATTGGATTCCACAAAAAAATAAAATTCTATTAAAAAAATGTCAATTGATGTACAAATGAATAATCAATTCCAAGAAAAAATAATAAGAAAAAAAAAAAAAAACAAATAGCTGTCGATGACTGTACACTCCCATGAAGAAAGAAAAGAACCAAGTAAAAGCTGGCTGCCAAAAAATAATAATACAAAAATCCAGTTGCCATTATAACCCGACCCGACCCGACCCAACCCGAATAGGTTTCTATTCAAGATCCGACTGTCTCAACTCCTTCCTCAGCTTCCTCGAGAACGACCTGCAAGCATCCATGCTTAAATCCATGGCCGCCGCAAGAGCCACAAACGCCGCCGCATCCTCGGTGCAGGCCACGTGCTGCACCCCGACTTCCACCTTCGGTTTACTGCACCGCCCGTCTCCCTCCACCGTCGACGACATCACAAACCCTCTGTACAACAGATTCGCCCACGACCCGGATCCATAGCCCGACCCGAGATCCGACCCGGACCCGGAGCCCGAGCCCAGATCAAAGCTACTGTTCGGGCTCGTCAATGGGGTGGGTCCGGTGGTGATGTCGACATTGAACTTCCCTCCGTTCTTGGTGCTTATGTCTGAGCTGGCGAGGGGGATGGCGTCGACGCCGCAGTCGGAGAGGAGGTCGAAGCGGTACCCTAGTCGGTCGCCGCGCGTGCGGTCACGCCACGCCTCGAGCCGGCCCCACGGCTTCCACGTGCTCTGAACCGGGCGGAGGATGAGCCACGCGCCAGGGTTCGACCGGCTGACCCGGTTGGTCCCCGGAGATGGGACGAACGGCGTCACCATTGAGGCGGCGGCCACCGGCGAACCGGATAGGTCGTGGATTGTGATCGACCACCCCTTCCGCTCCTTTGCGGCGTGCTCGTTTTCGATTGAGTTGAAGCAGTTGGTTGATGTGCTTGGTTCCGATAATCCTGATCTGATTCAATTCATAAACCCTAATTTCAGATTGCGTTGTTCTAAGCATGTAAAGTAAAATCAGGTTTTTATAATTTCAGATAATTGAAGGAATTAAAAAATTGAAATATTCACCTGGATCGCAAATTCCAGTCGCCGGAGTTTCTGAAACTGAATTTGCAAGTGAAAACCGGCTGTTTGACGTTGCCGTTGACCTGAAAAACCTGAGGGCTGCACTCGGGTTCGCCGTCGAACAGGAAAACGAATCTCGGGTCGGGTTCAGCCCTAACATTCAAGTGCAATTTCACACCCGACCCGCCAATCATAACCCACCCGTTTTGAATCACCGACTTCCCCATATTCTCCAGAATACTCTTCAAATCCAACTGCACCGCGACGGAGCCTAGAAGCTTCCCGCCGCTCACAAGCCCGCATCCGCCGCCGCCGCTCGTCCTCCCAATCCCAATCCGCCGCCGAATTTCGATCTTCAAGCACGCGGAAGAAGAGCTCCCCGATTTATCCGCCAGCTTCTCCAATTCCAACTTGCTCAAGGCGAAGCAGCCGTGGATTCTGGCGTCGACGGCGTCGTTTTCGCCGCCGGGAAGTAGGGAGACGTCGGAGATTTGGGATGGAAGCCCCTTGAGCTTGAATTTACAGTAGAATGAGAAGGCGGAGAGATTGGATTTCTCCGGCAAAATCAAACCTAAGTTCCCAACAACGATCCGCACGAAAGGACAAGGATCCATTCCGTGCAATCAATTTTGAAAAAGAAAAAACACACAACTGTTTGTTTGGAGCAGTAATTTAGCAAAGAAACGATTTTTCGAACACAAAAGTGGAGGAAAAGCCTAATTAAAGTAATGCCTAAAATACATACACATATATATATATATATATATATATGTATGTATAATTGTATATACACATATATATGGGGTGGGTACAGCCTGGAGAAGGGAGGGGGGGGGGGGGGGGGGGGCCCAAGGTTAAAACATTGGCGTGCGTCCCGAAAAAACTGGTTTTCCCCCCCCCAAAATGCCCCCCCCCCAAACGGGGGAAACCCAAATACCCCCGGCAAAATCCCCGGTTATAAACCGGATTTTGGGGTTTTCTTATTTCTCCCTTCCCCCTTCCTTGCTTTTCCCCAAAGGTTTTTTTTTTTTTTATTTTTTTATTTTACTTTTTTTTCACATTTTTTACAAAAAAAAAAAAAAAAAAAAAAACCGGAAAACCCCTTTTGTGGGGGGGGGGGGATTTTTTAAAAAGGACCAGGATTGGACCCCCTTCTTCCCCCACTTGGAAATGGGACCCCCCGCCCCTCAAACAAAAAATCCCCCCTTTTTTTTTTTTTTTTCTTTTCTTTTTTTTCCTGTTTCCAAAAAAATTCCTATTTAAATAAGTACGAAATTAATGTGTATGAATGAGAAAGATTACGAAAATCCGCTTAATATTTTTTTTGCAAATACCACTAAATCCCCTTAATAATTTCACTAAAGAAAAATTAATTGATGTTCAATTTTTTACTTTCTTTTAAATTAATATATTAATATCTATTTTATGAGTTCAAATGTCTATATATATTAGTTTAAATATTAAAAAAATATAAAGTACAATTAGCCAGCTCATCATGAAATTAATTACTATATTTCTTGATATATCATGGTCATATAACTCATAATTATTTCCCTTACATGATAGTGGGATTCAAATCTCACATTAAACTTAAATTTCATTATCCACTATTTGGATAGAGAAAGTTTAATATGGTTTTATAGAAAAAAAAAAAAAAAGTCTGCTTTGAGGTAATTAATTACTTATTATCCTATCACTAGAGTGTGACAGCAAATAATTAGCAAAAATGTAAACCATTGTAGTAAGAGTGGTTAAGCTTACAAGTTACTTAAAAAGAGATTGTAAGTTTTTTAATATTAAAAAAAATCTAAAAGAATTGAAAAAATAAGTTGTTGGAAAGTTTTTAAGATCCTTTTAACATAATATATTTACCATACTTTTTTATTTAAGATCTTATAACGAGCAAAAATAACTTATAAGCTCATTACCAAACAGTTAAAAAATTAATTCTAAAAATAAGACATAACAACTTTTCACCTCTTAAAACTGCTTATCACCTGTTTAAAATAAATTTAGGCGAACGAAACCTTACTGAAATCACAATAAATATTATTTTTTGGATATCCATTCAAGGATTTAGTAAATGCTATACTTGGTAAATGTACACTATTTGATAGACTTGTTTGACCTTAATATATTACATATTATTAAGATCAATATTTTATTTACTAAATATAACATATATCCACTCTTTGATACTGTATGTAAAAGTAGATGGAGTAAGAAAATAGGAAATCAAATAATCTTATTTAAAATTATTTTATTAACCTTATCATGCTTACGTGGCACCGAGTAGTATTCAATGATTTATTTTATGCAAATAAATGTGATTAATTGTATTTTTGTACATAAATATTTTGATCATAATAATAATTTAATTGCATGAACTGGATTTGCGGCTCTGAGCCGTGAAAGATGGGCTCGGATTGACAACCCATACATACTGTTACTCCATTCAAATCAAATAAATACATAATTAATTAATTAAATAAATAACAATAATAATAAAAGCCAGCGGGTTATTCGGGGCTCCGAATTGCAAAGTGGGCCCACATAATACCTAACTTCACTGGCATCTTGCTGCTTCAACTTATTTTCCTATTATTGGTTGTAATTTATATTTTCATTTCTAATATTTTTATTTAATAAGTATTTCATATGATTCCATATAATGTAAAATTTTAAATCTAGTGTAACAAGTCAAAGTTCGATTTAAATTTCGAGTCGAAGAGTAAGCGTTTTTTCGATAAATTGTACTGAATTAGTACGATGTAATGATATATATCCGGTTGTCAATATTCAAATTAACTCAAGCCTGCTACAAAAACTAATTAGTAAGAAGATGATTTTATCCATAGAATATTATGAATTAGGATACGATTATTGTTAAATTAAGGATATTATTGAGAAATTGTTTTCAATTAATATTAGATTTTAGCAATTTTAAAACTAAATTTAATGCAGTGAGCCGAACATCTTACATTTTACTAGAGTTAAACCTCTATAAATCAATACTGTCATATTGAATTATGAACTTTTATATTTATAGTTGAAGCTTTGGGCTTTAGCCTTAGACAAGCATTTAAAAATCAAGTCTTTTATAAGAATGATTTACTTAAGTCTTATGGGCCAAAATATAATTTGACATATGTGGAAATTAGGGAAAATTTCGTTTATTTGTTGAGAAAATAATATTATAAGATTTAAAAGGAGGAAGAAAGACGAACAAAGGTTATAATTTTGAAAATTAACTTCGATGCGGCTGTCCCGAGAAACGACCCCGTTTATGTGACGTCAATGGTGGCAAGAAATGACGCGAGGAGAATGTGTTCGGTGGAACATCAGTCGCTTTCAGGCAAGATTAGAGAAAGTCGACTAACTTTATCCTCTTTGCTTCGATCTTGTTGTTTTTGTTTTACGTTACAGAACCTTCGGGCAACGAACTTTCTCATTGTGTGGCTAAGATGTTCGTTCATGTTGGTGGTGAAGGTCTTACATAATTCCAATTTCAGTTTTCGATCAATATCATTATGTATTTATAGGTGAATTGAAAATATAAATTTTTAATCTCTCTAATGCCGATTGGAAAAATGTTTTTGAAACATGTTTTTGGTTCCAAATTTTCAACATTTCAATTTTTTTTGGAACATAATTGGAATTAGTTTTTCCATTTAAAATAAAAAAATGAAATTTTTCGAAAGTGTTAATTATGATTCAAATTTTGTCCGACTTTTATTACTTCTGAACGAAATGACTAATGCTGCTGCATACCAAATATATGCGATTCGACATTTCTGCTGCATACCAAATTTATGCGATTCGACGATGTTTGAACATCAAAAAATAGTTTTTATTTTTTTCATTTTTGAAATTGTAATAAATGTCATTAGAAAAGTTATATTTCCAAATTCCACAAATTGTTATTATAATTTAAATTCATATTATGATTAGACTTCAAATAAATTTTTTTATCTCAATAATGATTTTTTTCCGCGTAATTTTCTAGTTTATTTCAATTTAATAGAATTTTACAATATTTATTAGAGTTAAAAAGTTGTATAAAATATCAAATTTCAAACTGATAATAATAATTAAAAAAAAAAGAGTCTTAATTAAGAATACATATATGATATATCAATGACATGTCATGTGAAATGCAAATTTCTCCAAAAAAAAAAAAAAAAAATCAAAATCTGAAACAAAACTAATGACAAGATTAGTAATGTAAACATGTAGTAATTAACAAAACCCTAATCAATGCGCAAATTAAGAACGAAAGCTCGAAAAATCCTGTACATTTTTTCTTTCTCTCTTAGTGATTAATTAACTATGGAACTGTAAATAATCATTAAAAATTTGTTCAAATCTGGTCCTGTCCGAAACCGTACGGAAAAACGCAACCGCCGCTATCGGAACCACCAATACCCTGACTCTGGTTCACGAACGCCGCCGCCATCTCGTTCATTAAGTATCCATCCCCGCCGTCGGACCTGGCCGCGTTTCCTCCGCCGGCGGCGGCGGCAGCGGCAGCGGCGGCCGAGATCATCATGTCGTCTGCCTTCAGAGCCACGTTCTTCATCAGCATGTCCAGCGCCGCCGCGTACTGCTCCAACTCCTCCAGTCCCATCCCCTCCACCGCCTCATCCCACCAGAACCCACCGCCGCCGCCGCCGTAGCACTCCTCCGCCCTCTTCGACGCCTCGATAAACTCCTTCCGCTTCTTCTCCGCCTCCAGTTCCTTACAAACGTCCGCGTAGTCCCTGTTGTAGTCCCCGGCCCACGCGGCCGCCGCCGCCGCCGGGCAGTTCTCGACGGCTCCGCCGCTGAGGAATCGGTCGATGACGGAGTCCGGGGTTGGGTGCCCGAAGGCGAAGACGCGCTTGCCGAGCGAGTGGACGATGATCGCGACCTGGGCGCCGCTGAGTATGCAAAGCTCGCTTGCTTTCTTGAATAGGCCCACGCGCCGCTTCGAGAAGGTGACTTGGCGGCTGCTCAGACTCTCGATTTTCTTGATCTCAATCTTTCTCCGCCCCTGACTCGTCTTCTTCACCACCGTCGTCTGCCCGTTATTTTTCATAATCACCATTTTTTCACACTTCAAACTTTCACACTATATATAAATTCACAGAGAGAGAGAGAGAGAGAGAGAGATAAGGGTTTTGAGTTTTGATAGAAGGGTTGATTTAGGTTATATATATATAAGTAGAGAGAGAGAGAGAGAGAGAGAGAGAGAGAGAGAGAGAGAGAGAGAGAGAGAGGGAAAACGTGTGGAAATTAATTAAAGGTGGTAATAATTGAGCTTAGTTAAGGGGGATTCAGAATCTTATTACAACGGTAAAATTGAGCCAATCTTTGGCAACTTATATTCACCTAATTAATGCTTCACTCTTTTTCTCAATCAAACCAAAATTTAATTACCTTATTTACCCTATTAATGACGTGTCCTTCCCTATTTAATATTCCGAACTAATTAAATAAACAATTCAAATTCCGTTCACAAAATCAGAAACCCTAATTTCAGAAATCATAATCTTTTTTTTTTTTTTTTTTGTATCGGAACCGGTGAAAATCGTAGATTTTTTGTTTTGTTGCCGTGCCCTATAATATGAAATACGTAATAATATTAATATTCATAAACAAAAGTTCAATTTTTTGAATTTGTTTCGGAAACTAAAATTGGACATCAAAATCAGAATCGCATAAAGATCCCGATTGGATCCGGTGCAATGTTTTTTTTTTTAATTTTCAATTCCGTTTTATATTCAATTCGTTTATTTACTGATCATACTTCATGTTTCGATGCCTTGAATTAGGACGAAGGTGACATCATTAAATATATATTCCACAAATTAGAAACTCGGAACATTTGATATATTCACATAAGTTAATTCTAATCTAACAAAAAAAAAAAAGATATAAGTTAATTATGTACAACGTCAAAATAGTGTATCGAGCTCGAAATTTAATTTATTCCGGGGGATGGTGTAGGCTTGGATCTACGTGGATATCGACAATAAATGCAGTACGAGAAGATTTATAAATTGATCAAATCCGCGAACGTTCCTATATGACCGAGAAAACGAAACACGTACGATACTATAACTCGTGCACTATAAACTAAAGTACGCTATAAAATTTGTATCATTTGTCTTATATTGTTTTTTTTTTTCCTGCAAAACCTACTATATATGCATGCTTAATATTAAGCTTTAGTATTTTTATTTACAGAATTTTATAGGAATATTCTAGCATATATATAATGCTAATAAATCTAATCTTTGCTTGTTCTGAATTTTCAATGAGTTGCTCATACAAAATCAGATTGTGTGATTAAATCAGGATGTATATATAGGTTTTCGAAATTTGCAAATTAAATGGTGAATCGGGAATAGACTAGATCAGATTGTGTGATTAAATCCAATTCGCTAAAGTAAATCGCTTTAAATTAAATTCACCACTATATTTTTTTCTAAATTGTGAAATTTGCAATTATATCGACATTCCTATGTTAATAGTAATGGTTAATAGGCCCGAAAATGAAATCGGCAAGTTGTAATTGTGATTGTCGATCGCTAATATCCCTTAAACAATTATCCGTAAAGACCAATATCTAACGGCACAATTTTTGGAATTTCTATGTTTACGCTATAGTTATCTATTACACTCCTTAATTATAAATGTTAACATAAGTTTCTTCGTCGTTTACTTTCATATTTAAGATATACGATCTCCGCTCCTCTTTAGGTACCTCATTTACGAAATGTTTTTCCCCCTATTTCTACATGACAAACTATGTACTTTTTCCGAGTTTCGTGTATTATAGTAATTACTTTATGAAATGTACAAACTTGTACAAGATAATTCTCCGAAACTCTCGATGCTAAATAAATGCTTTAGTCGTTAATTAAATTTTACATTTCAGGCATTATTAGATCTTTGATCCCCTCATAATTTAATTTACCTTACTTATTATTCGTAAAAAATTTACTCGTAAATTATACATTAATATAACTAGCTTACAGTGCCGAATTTTCAAAAAGAAATAAAACAAAATTTGATTCTTTATATTTTTTAAACTTAATTTTCGATTATTCGTGCATGAATACGTTCCATGGAAGTACGTCGATCATCAATGTAAGGGAAACCGATACACGAAACTTTTACGACACGAAAGTATATAATGTTACGTACGAAACTCAGAAATAAACCAAATTTAAATAAATATGAAATCAAAAGTAAAAAAACAAATACATATAAATAAAATAAAATTAAAAATCAATTATGGTCTAACAATTTTAAGGAAAATAATTTCCATGACCATAGTTTCCGTCGAATCCCGGGGGCATGTTCTGAACATTATTATTCGGTTGCATTTCCCCAGGATTCCCCTCAGCATCCACACCCGAGCCTCCAACCCCTACATTGGGCTGCCCGACAATCTCACCAAGATTTCCGTAATTGTACGGAAATTCGAATGGCAAGTTATTATTAACTGTCGGATAAATCGGAGCATAGCCAGGAAGAAAAGGCGGACCGAAGGCGGCATTTGCACCTGGATTATTCGAGGTACCAACTCCACCAACAAATTGAGCTGGTGGAATATTCAAAGGTCCTCCTTGAACGATTAGTGGTGCGTTATTGTTAATCGGGCCTTGGATAAGTGGTGCGTTATTGTTAATCGGGCCTTGGATAAGTGGTGCGTTATTGTTACTCGGGCCTTGGATATTAGTATTATCCAAAGCCGCCAAACTCGCCGCCTCGTCTTGATCAAGTTTATTATCAAGACTTTGTTGGAAATCGAGGATCGACCTCTTCAGTTCGTCTAGCTGCTGATAGTTTAGGTCGTCGAAGTTTGGCGGGCGCCATCTTTCGCTTTCCGGAGCCTTCCTCAATTTCTCGTGCGCTTTCTTCCGCTCCTTTTCTATTTTCAGGTCCGCCTCCCATTTACCAACGGCCTTATTACGTCGGCGCATATCGGCTTCAGCGCGAGCCGCCACCTCCCTCTCTAGACGGTCGGCTTCGCTTCCAGGAATAGGGTTAGGGTTAGGGTTAGGGTTAGGGTTGAGGTTGAGAAACCTGTCAACGACCGCGTTGACACTGGGGTTTCCGTAAGAGTGTGGCTTGTCTCCGGGGGAGAAAACAACAATGCCACTCTCAGCACCGCATAGGGTGCTTAGCTCGCTCGCCTTTTTGAAGAGGCCAGCTCGCCGTTTTGAGAACGTGACTTGAAGGTTCGTCTCGTTCTCTATTTTTTCCATTTTTATTTTCTGCCGCCCTTTTCCCTTTCGTTGGGGATTAGGGTTATTCGAATTCTCTCCCGGGTTGTTGTTCTGGTCAGATGGATTCATTTTTTTAGAAGGAAATAAAAGAGATTGTTTTGGTGAAATGATCAAATGAAAACCCGAAAAAAAACCCTAGTCGTCGAGAAGAGAAGGCAAATCGAAATATTTAATTTTGTGTGTGGTTTTAGCCATGCAAGGAAGAGCTACTTATATAGTTGGAGATACATGCATATGAATATTTTCTTTCGCTTTTCATTAAATGTTGATATAAATCACGAAATCTCGGTTGGTCGACTTACGATTCATCGATTAGTCCACTATTTAATTTTGTTAGATCTTCGATATATATGAACTTTGCACATATCAACATTTTTATGTTAACAATAATAGTTTGTGACCTAACAAAATATAAAATAGAGATACAAAGAAAACGTAATCGCCATACATTTATGCCAATCTATTATTGTAATTTCACTTTTATCTTATAGAAAATCTATGGCTACAATGTAATAATTAAATTTTGTTAGGGATAAATAAATGACACGTTATAAAGATTAGGTAGCCATCTCATTGATATGAATCGTCATTGAAGATTTTTTTATGCATGAAAATCATGGAACAAAATTATCATAATAACTATACATAAACACAATTTATATTATATATATATATATATATATATATATATATATATATATATATATATATATATATATATATATATATATATATATATATATATATATATATATATATATATATATATATATATATATATATATATATATATATATATATATATATATATATATATATATATATATATATATATATATATATATATATATATATATATATATATATATATATATATATATATATATATATATATATATATATATATATATATATATATATATATATATATATATATATATATATATATATATATATATATATATATATGAGTCACTAATTTCAATATTGCTATAATACTTGCTTGCCAAACTTTAATTTATACTAATAAATATTTCGTTAACAACTACGAATAAGAACGTTCTTTTATTTAATTTATACGGTATAATTCTATATTTTACTTCTTAATTATCAATGTCGACATAAGTTTGTTTACTAATAGTACTTTCAAAATTTTACGCATATATATGGCCGCGTGTCATCTTCGAATTAATTATTATGTAACATCGTTTTTTTTGGTAAGTTAATGTACGATATTTCGCTCTCTTAAAGTAACTTATTCACGAACTATAAATACCTAGACGTATATATTTAAACTATATTTGTTTACGCACGTACTTAAATCTCAAGCGCTATATAGAGACACGTTTTCTTGATCATTAAATACTTCTAATTTTTCGAACATATATAAGTATCTTAATTTATTTTGATAATTTTTCAGAAGTAAGATCTTCCGTCTCCTTAAGATACATAATTTACGAAACGAAAACCTTTATTTCTACACTTTGATCCGCGAACACGCATGCTTCTTAATTAGTTACCAAAGATGATATACGTTTTTATTTGTTATTTAATTACTTTTAATAATTCAAACATACACATTATCATAGGTATCGTATTTATGATGTATAAAAACTCTAACTTCTACATACATACGTATAATTTTCATCCGTGAAAGATCTTTCATCCTCTTATAATGTACCTTATTTACTAAATTAAAATACGAAATTTAGTTATATGACAATTAAATATTGTAAGAAAATGTTGTTCTTTCTTCTTAGTTTTGGTCTGATCAATTTCTTGCCTTTTTATGCTTGAAGCTTCCGAGGATTCGTAGTATGATGAAACTTTCGGAATAGTACGGTATACGTGTGTATGAGTGCTAATATACATAGGGAAACTCGGAGAAAAACACAATTTAGTAACATAATCGAGCAAAGTTACGTTGTTATTTCATACAAAACCAACATTATATGTATATATTTATACTTTATAGTATACATGAACTGAAAGTAACTGAAAAAACATCCTATATTATTTAAAACATTATGTAATGTTCATATAATGAATCTTTTTATTGCTCATCAATTTATTTATGAAATAATAAAGAAAACAAAAACAAATTCTCATTACAAGTACATCATATATATATATATATGATTAACTCAAACAGAACCATGGTAAATTATTCAAAAACAATAAAAAAAAGCTAGTGAGGCACTAGCACAATAAATTAAACACGAAAAAAACGATCGAAAAATCAAAATATTACATCCATGCATTCATGCATCAGAAAAATCCATGGCAGTAACCAAAACCAGCATTAGCATGATCATTATTAACATTATTATTATTGTTATTATTCTCAGCCACATGAATCGCCAGCTGGCTAGGTTTACTCTCGTACTGCTCGAAAACCCCCTTATTATTCGACATATTGAAAATACTATTCGAATGAATAGTATTCATCATCATCTTATTCACATGCTGACTCACGTTCTCCTTGAGATCTTCCATGGCAGTCTTCAACTGCTCCAGCTCGTCTAACCCTAATTTCTCAACGGGCCCCTCCCACCAATACTGCGTCTCGTTTGTTTTCCGCACATTGTCCAGATTCTCGGCCCGTTTTCTTTCTAGGTCGAGTTCGTACGAAACTTGACCTAATTGCAAGTTCAGATCCCTAACACTAGCATTTCTCTGAGCCTCGATGAGATGATAAGGCCCGTTATTATTATTATTAGGGCAGGCCGAGTTTCGAGGTAAGAACCTGTCGACTATGGACTCGACATTAGGGTGGCCGAAGGAGAAAACTTTGCCAGCTGGCGAGAAAACGATAATTGCGATTTCGACCCCACAAAGTGTGCAGAGCTCACTGGCTTTCTTGAATAGACCGGATCTGCGCTTCGAGAAGGTGACTTGTAGGTGGTTTTTGACCTCGATTTTCTCGATTTTGATCTTTTGTCTACCCATGCTTGGTTTTTTCGCCATGGTGGTCGATTTTCTTTTTTTCGATCTGAGGGTGTTTGTGTAGGGAAGAATGAAAATATTTTGTCCAATTTATAGAGTACTACTTTGTGACTTATTAGTACCATAAAAGCTAGCTGGCTATTTGTTTCTGTTTTTAACATTTCTACCTATGATTTGGGAGTTAAGAAATCTTTCTTACTTAATGTGTGGATTTTGGTCAGGTGGATTTTGATAAAATAAAATTTGCAATATAATCATTAAAATATTTATATAATGGAAGAGAATTACAAGAAAAGAATGTATAATTGAAGATTTGGTACTAATTATTATTATTACAAATAAACATGGATACATTGTCTAATTTGTAACACACTTTTCCTTTGAAGGATGATAGATATTAGGTAAAAACTGATTCTAATCAATTTATAAGATCAAAACAATTTATGAAATTAGCGCGGGTTCTGAAATTATTGTTGAAACGTACCATATAAAAAAAAATATGTTTTTCATCGCGGCATAAGGATCGGGGCCAGCCTATATATATATTTATATTTATTGGTGTGCTCGAGGTCAAGCTCGAGAAAAATTGACTAGCTTGGCTAATTTACACCCCTAGTTCGAGTACTCTCATTCCCTCCGAATTAATTGTTTTCTTTTTTTGTTATTTATTTTTTATGAAAAAGTAAAAGTGATAGGATATAAAAACGAATATAAAAATATAAAGGGTATCCTGCGCATCCAGGGAATCGAACCCTGGTCAGTACCGTGGGAGGGTACTATGATACCACTACACCAGATGCGCTTCTTGAAAATATTTTTCATATAATTTTAATTCAATCATCTATTTAATTTTTAATTTTCTTTTTTATCTTTTTTTTATCTTTCTTTTTTTTTTTTTTTTTTTTAATTATGTTACAGTTCCATCCTACCTTAGACAAATGGGGTTATGTATATGCTACACCTGAGTGATTTTTACCGTTGACCTACACATACCAATGTAGATTTGTGTGTGTTTGTGTGTATATGAATAGTAAAGATCTATCATGTGTATTTCATCCAGTGTAGCATGGAATAGACCAGACAAATCCGGAATGTATGCGGCATCACAGAGACCTATCCAAGCCCAGTACCCAGAATCAGTGACGGAGCCACCATAACACGGGGGCCATGGCCTCACAATAATTCTCGAATCTCTGGTTTATATGTTAAAATTTAAAACAAATTATTTATAATTAATATTAATGCATTTGCCCCAGAAACTTAAAATTTTAGTTCCCAGAACATAATTATTAATTGCTATTTGCACTCTTTTTTTCTTTTTCTTTTTTCATTTTCAGTCAAAGTGAAAATGAAATAGTCTTGATATATAGGAAGAAAAAGCACGTTGTTGACTCTTTTATGTATACACTAAACCTAGTTAATTGGTTACTCATAATTTATTAATTTAAATAATTAATTAGTCTTTATTGAATGTTTAATCAGTCCAATAACTTTTCAAGTCGACCTGCAGTTGTAGAAAAAAATAGCTCTAGTTTAAACTAATTCAAAGATAAATCCTTATGCAAATTAATTTCATTAAAACAAAGCAACATTAATTAAAACGACAATCAGAATAACATAACCAAATATATGATAAAGTTACACTGATAAAAACAAAAACAAAAACAAAAACTAAAACAAAAACAAACACACTAAAACATTCAAATTGAAAATCAGAAAAAGAAAAATAAAACAACCAATAACCAAACATAAGAAATAAATTAAAACATCCTAGGATCATATCCCATGTTGTTGTTGTACCCACCAAAGCTCGTACTCCCGATGTTAGCCGTCGAAGGATCGTAATTCGGAACCGACCTCGAAGAAGAAGCAGCCGTGTAGCCATGATTAGCGGCCCCACCGCCAAACAACATAGCATTATTACCACCACCGTAATTATCGAACGGAACAAAACCACCATTGTTGTTACTACCACTAGCAATCATAGGATTAATATTAATATTCGCAGCCGCAGGATTATCAACAACGAATCCATCATTAATCGCCATCCCTCCATTAATACCACCAACCCCATGAGCAAAGAAATCGTTCGGCCCCACCGGAAACGGAGCATTGTTAAATGCCGGATTAGGGTTAAACAAAAAACCACCCTCATAATCATCATCATCATCATTATTATTAATATTATTAATAATATTATTAATATTATTAATATTATTATTAATATTAGGGTTTTCTTGATGAAGCATTGGTGGATTAGGATCAGAAACCCTAAGCATGTCCTCATGCAGTTTGGCGTCGAGATTCTTCCGAAAGTCCAAAATGGATTCCTTCAATGCAGAAAGCTGGTCGTAGTTGAAATCGTCGAACCCGGTCGGAAACCACTTCTGGGCTTGACCTGTTTTCTTGATCGCCTCGAGCTCTTCGGTCCTTCTCTTTTCGGCCCTCAACGCAACCTCGGCTCGGGTTAGTCTCACGTTGAGTTTACGTATGGCTGAGTTTCTGAAAGCCTCAAGAACGCGCGCCGTCGCGGCATTATCGATAATATTATCATCATCATTATTATTAATATTATTATTATTAATATTATTATTATTATTAATATTATTATTAATAATTCCAGAATCAGCATCAAACTTATCAAGAACAGTTTGGACATTAGGATGTCCAAAGCAATAAACCTTATCAGCAGGAGAGAAGACGACGATCGATGCCTCGGCCCCACACAGCGTGCAAAGCTCGCTCGCCTTCTTAAAAAGCCCGGCCCGCCTCTTCGAGTAGGTGACCTGCAAATTGCTCTGGTTCTCCATTTTCTCCATCTTCACCTTTTGGCGGCCTTTGCTCTTCCTCGTACTCGGAGCTCCTTTCGACGAACTCATTCTTTTTTTTTTTTTCTTTTTCGATTATGTGTTTTAATTCTTGTTGTAAGAGTGATTTTTTTCGAGAAGAGAAGAAGAGGATTTTATAAGGACTTGCATTTAATCTGCATGGATTTTGTGTTCCTATTATGTAACATTTTTGAATATTTTTAATTAATATTTATTGACTGTTGTAAAATATGAAAGACTCGATAACTAATTGTTATCTAATGGAATTTATTATAATACAATGTTTTTGGACACTAGAGAATCTGGTTTGGGGATGCTTTTTTTTTGGTAGGAAATTCAAATTGAAAAATATTTTGTATTAAGAGAATTACTATATTAAGTTTTACTATATAGGACAAATATTAATTGGTTCGTTGAAAACTGTATCTGAAATGTTTATTCACAATTTAATTCATAAGATTTCATGCATAGATATGTATATTGATGATCTGATATAGAAAATATTAAGATTATATGTGACTTTTTTTTGTTTCATTTGACTAGTTTTAGGTAACTAAAGTTGCGATTTTCAATTACGTAATCGTTAATGTACGTATTGTACGGAATAGTACGGAATTGAAATAAATATGATCGTATTTCAAATATGTACTCGTTGTACGTAGTAGTACGGAAAATACATATGATCGTATTCAAATATGTACCCGTTGTACGTAGTATAATAGTACTACGGAAAATGAATATGATCGTACGTATCTCAAATATGTACTCGTTGTACGGATTATAATAGTACTACGGGAGATAAATATGATCTTAGTTCAAATATGTACTCTTTGTACGGATTATAATAGCACTACGGGAAATAAATATGATCGTAGTTCAAATATGTACTCGTTGTACGTAATAGTACGGCAAATACATATGATCGTATTTTAGATATATACTTGATCTCGTTGTACGTAATAGTACAAAAAATGCATATGATCGTGGATCAAATACTTGTTGTACGTAAATGAAGACATCAATTAAAGCGTCGGATAACTCGAATCGATATCTAGTGACTTTCTTAATGATTTGGTTACTTGTAGAATACTATTGACGATAATAATTATAAGGGATGTGATACGTGTCGTTGGAGCTTATTAATAATACTGTTTCGACTTCAATCGCAAATTTGATCATTCTTTTACTTCAATTTTTTTGCAAAACTCGAAACATAGAATTATATTTAATTATAATTATAATTGTCCCATCATACGTTGTGAGACTAAAGATCATACATTAAACTGGGCTTGATCCCATATTTAATCCGGACTATCTGTAATGGGCTGGGTCAAAAAGTAAGTACAAGGCCTCCTATTAACAAAAAAATGTCTTTATTATTATTATTATTATTATTATTATTATTATTATTATTATTATTATTATTATTATTATTATTATTATTAATATTATTATTATTATTATTATTATTATTATTATTATTATTATTATTATTATTATTATTATTATTATTATTATTATTATTATTATTATTATTATTATTATTATTATTATTATTATTATTATTATTATTATTATTATTATTATTATTATTATTATTATTATTATTATTATTATTATTATTATTATTATTATTATTATTATTATTATTATTATTATTATTATTATGTCTGAAATGATTTACGCTGCAGCAAAATTACGAATGTCGTTCACAATAGCCTTCCCTTTCTCTCTCTATAAACTTTCAAATTCACCCAAACCCAAAACCACCAAAACCCCCAAAATTCACAAAAATCCTTAATCCTTCTCACAAATCCTTTCAAATCTGAAAATCTCGTCAATTTGAAAGGTAATTACTCAACTAAAGTAGTTATATATATTGAATTTGTGGTTAATCATATGAAAATCGCGATTTGGGGCTGAATTTTTTGTAAGCCTCGCGCCTGTTACACGCCCAAAATAGGTGTGGGAAAGCAGTTTTAACGCCTAAACCAGGCGTGGAAACTGCTTTCTCACGCCTATTTTGGGCGTGGAAGATGACATCCGACGTCCGGTCCAAGCGCCGGTCAGGCCTCTGCACGTCCGGTCCAGGCGTGCAGAGCCCTGAACGGCGCCTGGGCCGGACGCCGGTTCAAAAATTGATTTTTTTTTAATTTTTCTATTTTTCGGGCGTCCGGTCCAAGCGTGCAGATCCTTGACCGGCGCCTGGACCGGACGCCCGGTTCAATTTTTTTTTAAATTAATTTATTTATTCATTAGTTAATTAATATTTGTATACGTTGATTTTTGTAGAAGACGACGAGTAGGCTTCAAATTTTTTTTACAGGCACCGGACGACTGGTTCGAAAAAAAAAAAATTATTTATTTATTTATTCATTAGTTAATCAATATTTGTATATGCTGATTTTTGCAGAAATCGACGAGTAGGCTTCAATTTTTTTTTCTTAATTAATTAATTTATTCATTAGTTAAGTAATATGTATATGTTGATTTTTTGTAGTTGTCGGCGAGTTGGCCACACGGACGAGGCAAGGGACCAATGACACGTGGCATGAGACCAGATGGATTTGCTGGAATTGAAGAATTAGAAGATGATACTATTGCACAAAGAGAGGGTAGGACACACAAACGTAAGGTTAATGGATTTACACAACGGGGCGAGCGTAATTTGCGACTGAGCGAGCCAGAGGCACAAATCGATGATGATGATGATTCACATGTAGGTTTCGAGGGTCAGTATGTTTATCTGGTGCCAGATTTTCAATTAGATGACAATGATGATGGCAATACCGTTTCCGCATCCCCGACCATTTTGACAGTGTTGCTGCGCTGCTACTTCATCTGGTGGTGCTACTCATCATCGGGGTAGTACTTTGTCAGATACTGCTACTCGTCCGTGGAAATTGACTAGTCTGACATGTGGCAGATCTACTGACTATAGTTTGATACCGAGTTTCGGAGCGCACGTCGCCGATGACATTTGGGAGGGAAATGTAATATTTATTATATTATTTTTTATTGTCTTTTTTTAAATGCGTATAGTAGATAGTTGCATAATTAAGATCGGAATATTTTATACATGCGCGAGCTATGGTTAAATTACAATCCCGTATGAAAGCGGTGACTGGCTGGCGCGGGCCAACAGATGCTCGGTCTGTTGCATTGTTGGAGGGTACTGGATTGAACCAATTGCAGCATTGTGTACTCTTTCAGCACAATAATCCACTGACTGAGGCATTCATTGAAAGGTGGCAGCCGGACACCAGTACGTTTCACATGCCTTTTGGGGAGATGACGTTTACACTGATATGCAGAAGAGCTTGGTGATCGAATCTGGCTCGAGGGCATTCAGACTCAACATTTTCCAGATAGAGAGTTGGTGCCACAATGGCGGCCCCGGTTAGAGGACTTGCAGGAGCTATACGGAGACCATTCATCAGCTTCGTCAGAGTGTAAGGTGCGATCATACATCATTTACTTGTTGGGATCGACTTTATTTGTCAATAAGAGCGGTGTGAGTGAAGCCAGATTTTTGCCCACTTATAGAGCACATCGAGCAGATTGGGGAGTACTCGTGGGGCTACTATGGCTCACCAACTTTACACCAAGACTCTTAGCAGTCGTTCTCGCTCATTCTACCATCTCAATCATCGAGTTAAAAAGTTCCGGTACTATAAAATGCTCACTATGATCAACTTCAAACGTAGAAGAATTTTGTTATTGCTCTTCATGAAAGAATTATGAATAAAATAAGGTTAAAGAGTAATAACAATATAACAATAAAAAAAACAAAAAAGAAACAACAACAACAACAACAACAACAACAACAACAAAACAAAAGAGGAAAAAAAAAAGTGTTGCGCGCCCAAACCGGACGCGGGTGGCGGTTTTTAGCGGCCAAACCGGACGCGGGTAGCGGTTTTGAGCGCCCAAATCGGGCGCAGGAAGTACTTTTCGGTGCCCGAACCGGACGCGGGAAATACTTTTGCGCGCCCGAACCGGGCGCCGAATACCGGACCATGCGTTCGGTTTAGGCGTGAATCTAGTTATTTAGCGCCCAGTTTGGTCGTGAAACATATTTTTGGGCGTCCAAATTGGTCGTGAGTCGCGTTTTCGCGATTTAAAGAACAAAAACAAACAAATTTTACCTAATTGGATTCCATATCTCGATCCTCATTCGATGCACTCATTTTTTTTTTTTGTAAATAGCTACAATAACATGAGTTTTGGAATGATTTCTAATATAAAAACTAAAATTGTAGAGAGAGAGAAAAAGATAGAGAGTAGATTTTTTAAATCCGCATTCGTAATTTTGCTACCGCGAATATCACCTCCCTTATTATTACTATTATTCAAAAGGTAAATATTCCCTTAATATATACTTAGTTCGAGGTAGAAACAAATGATAAGTTAAACATAGTATTTGGTTGACGAGATAAATTATTATTTTTAAAATTAAAATCCAAAAATAGAATAAAGAATAAAAAAAGGAAAAGTCAAAGAATGATATAATCCAATCCAACGGCTCTTTTGCCTCTTTTTCACTTTAGCCAAAAATTTCAAACGGTCAAATAGTAGTATACCATTTGAAATTTACAAAAAAGCCACCAGCATCTTCTTGAATTGATTCTTCTTCACAAGGAAAGGAAACTAGCCGTTACAGCATCTTCTCTTCAAATCAAAAAAATTCACAATCTTCATCAAATCATTTCAGAGATCCCTTCTTCTCCAATTCCCCCATTGATTGCAAATCAAACACATTTAAACTCTTTCTCTCTCCTCTCTCTCTCTCTCTACAATGGCGGCTCATCCAAACAGATCCCCCTCTCCACTTTCCTCCAGACCCAGTAACCCTACTAACCCTAATAACCCTAATCCAAGAAATTCAGAAAACAATCCATCAATCCGTAGAAGTTTCAGTGGGAACACTTCTGCCAAACCCTCCCTTCTCACTAATCAAAGAAGATTCGACCCCGTCACTCCTGCCAATAGCCCATCAGGTTCCCTTTTTTTTCTTTTTTCTTTTGTTTTTTTTAATTCTGGGTTTAATTTTCTTGCATCAGTTTCTTAACTCCTACTGCAATGTTTTCAATTTTATGGACTGGGTTTTTTGAATTGCTGTTTGCTTGTCCCTGTGTGGTGAATTTTAATTACTTGATTTTACTTCATTTGTTTTTTAATTTTCTGGAGTGGGTTTTTTTAATCGTAGTTTGTTTGTCCGTGTGCGGTGAATTTAATTTTATTCCATAAGTTTCTTGATTTTACTGTAATTCTTTCAATTTTCTGGACTGGGTTTTTCGAATTGTTGTGTGTGTCCCTGTGTGATGAACTTATCTATTCATTTTATTCTTACTTTTCAGATTTTGCGAGACGGAGATCGGCGGGTAGTAAAGAAGGGAAAAGTTGCGAAGAAAAGGAGAACGACGAAAAAGATCACAATTTGATGAAACCCTCGAGACTCCAATCTCCTGCGAAGGGCTCCAAGAACTTCATGTCTCCGACAATTTCCGCCGCCTCAAAGTTCACTCCTTCACCGAGAAAGAAAGTACTTGTGGAAAGAAGCGACCCCCTTCGAACCTCAATCTCCTTATCCGATGGAAAAGCCATGTTCTTCTCCACCACATCTCCAAACGTCTCCTCAGATTTCGAGTCGAAATCCGAAAGTGATCATCCGATTTCCAAGCCTCCAAAAAGAGTGACCTTTTCAGATGTCCCTTCAGAATCATTAGTTCCTGATAATGATTCTGATGAAAGCTCGAAATTCGAAACGGGTTTAAAGAATCTTTCGTCCGCTTCTCCTTCAATAGCCCCTCTTGATGCCGATCCGTCTTTACCGCCTTACGATCCGAAAACCAACTACTTGTCTCCAAGGCCTCAGTTTCTTCATTACAGACCTAATCCAAGAATCGGAATTCTCTTGAACAAAGAAAAGGGTCTCGATGGAGACGATTTCAACCCGCTTCTAGAAGATAGCTTTATGGCGAATATTATGTCCGAAAACTTTTCGGACTCTGAGTGTACAGAGGAATCTCAGACTGATTCTGCAGACATGGTGATAGGTCTAGACGAAACCGAAGAAAATTCCCCTGTTCCGGAACCTTCCGAATCACCACCGGTGACCATTAGTACAACCCCCAATGAGAATCTTGTTCAGAAACCGGAAAAGAAGCCACGGGTGGTCACCCTCTCTAGATTCGTGTGTTTCTCTGTTGTTACAATGTTGTTAGTAGCTTGTGTGTCGATCTCTGTCACACCTTCTTCTTCGCTCGATAAGTTTGCGATTAAAGACTTGAGCTTGTCTGATATGAGTGGCAACTTGTATCAACAATCTAGAGTTGCTGCTTATTCCGCCAGAGTGAGCCTTGATCGGCTAGCGACGCGTGTTAATGAGTTCTCGGTGAATTCTTTGTCTTTCGTGTCTAGTCTTTATAATGAGCTCGGCGAAGGAGAGAAACTAGGCACACTACAGTTTATGAACCTCTCTGATCTGCAAAAGAATGTTTGGAATGAGGCGAATTTTCTGAGCAACGAAATCCAAGAGGAACTAGTGGAGGAAGAAGAAGAAGAAGAAGAATCGGAGGAGTCGGATTCTGAAATGGATGTATACGAAGAAGCTGGTTTTGATGCGAACTTGGAGGAGGAATTCGACACACTAGAGTCTGAATATTTGGAACATATTCAGATTGAAGGAGAGGCTATCGCTACTGTCTCTACTACCAACATCTCTGCTAATCATCAATTAACTGTTATTTCGCAGAATCAAGAAATCGAACTTGATGTTGCTGCGAAAATATCTGCAGATCATGAATTAGCTGATATTTCGCAGAATCAAGAAATTGAACTTGATGTTGTTGCGAAAATATCTGTAGATCATGAATTAGCTGATATTTCGCAGAATCAAGAAATCGAACTTGATGTTGCTGCAGAAATATCTGCAGATCATGAATCAGCTGATATTTCGCAGAATCAAGTAATCGAACTTGATTTTGCGAAAAACTCTGCAGATCATGAATTAGCTGATATTTCGCAGAATCAAGAAATCGAACTTGATGTTGTTGAGCAAAACTCTGCAGATCATCAGTTAGCTGATATTACTCAGCTGGATCAAGAAAGTGAAGTTGCGGTTGAAGTTGCTTCTTCGGTGGAACACGAGAGCCAGTCGGAAATTTCTTCGTCACCTTATGAAAAGAAGTTTCTTAAAAACTATATCATGGAAATTTCTTATCTCTTTGCAGCAGCTGTATTGGCACTGACTACACTTACAACCGTGGTGTACAAAAAATACGAGAGAATTTCCAGTCCCGTCAATGTTGTGCCGAGCGAGGAGCATAACAATAATAAAAGCCACCACCAAGAAAAGGCGTTTTCGCAGAATTGGCAAACGGAGGCAGATGAGATTGGCGACGAATCATCTTGCCCCTCGGAAATGAGCAGCTTTCAAAAAACTGAATCTTTTTATAATAGCAGCAAGAAAGAACGCAAAGTCGGAGGAGCGAGTGAAGTGCAAAGCTTGGAGAAGAACAAGGCAAGAAAGTATTCTTCAAAACGGGAGTCGTTGGCTTCTTCTGGATCGGAGTTTTCACCTTCTTACGGGAGCTTCACCACTTTCGAAAGAATCCCTATTAAGCTTGTGAGTTGGAAATTATGCAAAAAAATGTGTTGTCATATATATATTATATATTAATATATGTTGTTGATTTTTTTTTTGTTATGACAGGCTGGCGGAGATGAAGAAGAGATTGTAACTCCGGTGAGACGGTCGAGCAGGATCAGAAATCATTACGTCACATCTCCATGACCAATTTGAATTTTTCGATGTTAGTTTAGTCGTAGGGGCTTAGCTTAAGCACATCTCTGATGTGGGAAAAACTAGAAGTTTGTTGCCTAGTTTCTGACTTAGTTTTTTTTTTTTTTTTTTTTTTTTTTTTTTTTTTTTTTTTGTATCCGTTTGAAACGATGATGTCTTTTTCGATTCTATTGTTTCGACATTCGTATTTGTTTCAGTTGCCCAGCTTCTTATGAAGGCTTTTTTTTTTACATTTTTGCTCAACACAGTATATTTACACTAATTTGAGTTATTGTAGTTTGGATAAATAAGTACGAATGCATTCAAACTATTTTTTTTTTCTTTTTTAAAAGAATCAAGAAATAGTTCATCTAAAAATATTTTCAATAATTTTTGAATAGTACAAAAATCTTAAAAATTTGTATACTATTATAGCACATGTTTTTTGCTGAAAATTGCTTAAATATAGTTTAGAAGATGGTTTATTCATTAGTAGTAGTCAATTAATATTTCAAAATTGCACACATTTTTTTGTTAAAAATAGCTTAAATTTTCAAAAAAAATTAACATTTTGCAACATTAAGTTATATAGTATATCACTATATTTGAATAATATATCCGTCAATTAATGTACATTTTGAGTGTTAAAATTTATTTAAAAAAATATGACCAATTCGGCTATTTTCAACAAAAAATGTGAGCTATACTATACAATTTTTTTAGATTTTGATTGACTAGTCAAAAATTAAGAAAACCAAATTTAGATGAGCTACTTTTTCACTAGTTACGAATTTAAATATTCATTTCTATATATTTGAGTGTCAAAAATATGACCCATTAGTGCATTTTTTTTGCCAAAAACGTGAGCTAACAGTATACATTTTTCAGTGATTTTGTTCCACTTATATAAAAGTAGTAAAACCAAATTTAGGTGAACTTGATAAGTTATGAATAAACATCTTCATTTGATTTTTTTTATAACTCTTATTATAACAAAAATTTAATTTCAAATAAAAAGAACGACTTGCCTTTTTCATCTTTTTAGTTTCGTTATAAATCTTTCTTCCAAATAATTAGAATTCCAATCAAAAAAAATTTCCCAACCATCATGTACTAGTTTTTAATTACCAAATTCGAATTTACAATCATATTTATTGACGACTTTAGATACATAAATTAACAACTGATATTTACATATACATCCCAGGGCCCACTCCAGTTCATATTTACACGAACTAACACGACCTCGTAAATAGTCAGTGTGTGCCATCTTCGACATTTTACCAGAAAGGACACCACCTGAAACACGAAAACCATTATATCATTAAGGGCACTCTTATTCCACACTTATACCAACAAATAAAAAATAAAAAATAAATAAAGATTCCCGATTTCCGAAATACGAAAAACATACCCAACATAATTTTGGCACAAATTCTCATGCGAAGATGCTTGAAGAATCAGCTTCTGAACTTGTAATTTGACAGATAAACCATGGTCAGCTTCGTGAATATCGCCAGGTATTAAGGTACTGTGCTCCAGAGAGTGCTGGACCGAGTTAGACGGTAGTGAAGAGAAATCCCTTCCAGTAAGTTTGTTGCTCATTCGTGCCATCACAACAACCGCTCTTTCGTTCAGCACCTCATTAGCATCACCCAAATGATTGACCGCCTACAAGTGAAAACGGAGGGGACAAATTAAAATTAAAATCATAATAAATCTTTACTTGACAAACGGATAAATCAAGATAAAAGAATGATAAAGCAATACATCGAATGCATCAAGCATCTCCCTCTCGCGAACAATTCTCTGCGGCTGAACAACTTCTCTAATAGGAATCGACTCCTCTCCATGAGGGTGTGTACTCGTAAGAGCAGACACTTGAGGGACTTCGTTGAAGTTGAATAGACGCCAGTTTATGAGGGGGTCATGGACAAATGCCTGAGGAAAACCAAACGTAAGTTTCGTCAGTTTTGAGTATCAAATCTCACAACTTTCCAGTACAATAAATAAAACTAAAATAATGTTTATTTTACTCTTGGCCATAGAAAAGACTCCTATAGTTTCATTTAAGATGGGCGTTGGAAAAGCAAGAAACATTCGGAAGTTAATTAATGTGCTAGAAAATTATCATAATCATATATACAAGCATAAAGGATTAGATAACTCATCGGACTGTACAAAATCCTGAATCCTGTGACCTATCCCAGAGGCAAAGCTAGTCCAATTCGTCAAAATTGGATTATATTTCTTAAAGCAAGACAAGGGTACGTTGACAATGACAGCATCTATTGAGGGATGGTTTTGGAGAAAAAAATCTCCATGGAATTAGTGACCAGATAAAAAAACATGTATCGTACTTATGAAGGTAAATGGAAAACAAAAAGTAACTATGAGTGAACTCATAGCAAGGCCACAACAGGAAGCAATGAGTAAGAAAACTATTAAGGACCTAAAAAACGGTAGAAAACAAACGATAAAGAACGAGTACAATTCACAGATTCGGTATGTACCTCCATCATTGCCATAACACTGTCTTTATTTGTCCGCAAAACCTGCATGACACTTTCACAAGTGGAGCGGAAGTTTCCTTCAATACCACTGACCTCCATTGCTTTAACGAGCATTCTAGTGAGGCGAAACGGAACCTAAACCATTCAATATTCAACATAAGTCTGTTTCACTCTTGGCGAAAAAATTAATAATTGAACCATAAAGCATGTTCACCTACCTTTTCAGGGAATTTCTCTCGGTTCATTGAAGCTTCGAAGCAATCTCCAAAGTCGATGTGCAGTATCTTCCCACTGCCAACAATGACTCATAAGATAAACTAAAAAACTCAAACAATAAACTAGTATAGGTGTAGGTCGTCTATATACCTGGAACGATGCAGCATGAGGTTGCTTGGGTGTCGATCACCCAGGCCAAGTAAGTAACCAACCTAAAAATGTGAATGCAGTGAGCACAACTTCACAAAGATACCATTTCAAAATGCTCAGACAAACAATTTATACTTAGGCTTGACAAGTTGCGTTTGTCAAACTAGTAAGTTCTAAAAGATGTTACAGAATATCAGATATAAATAGATGTACTTGACTTACCTTTTCAAGGTTAGAAGTGATTTAGAGTAACATCTATATGATAAATTAGCTAGTTTCCTCTATTAACATGATTGTACATGTATAAATACTTGTAATCTCTATTGAGCAAATATCAGAAAATACATTACACTGAAATATATGACTCCTTTGCATGTATAACAGAGCATAAAAGTTTGTTTATTCACAAAATTTGTACTAATAGTAACCCTTGAAAGGTCTGAGTATTTACCCTTGAAATGTAACTAATATGTTTTCCTTTACATGTATATAAACAGACAAGATAAATCTGAGTGTCAAGAATATGAACATGCTAAAACCAAGTTCTTCAATCCCATCTATCCCTACGCAGGCAAGCAAAAAAGGGGCAAAACCATTTTCCATTTAATATAACCCGAGACCAAAGATACAGACAGACCAACAGACACAGACAGACAAAATCACACAGATAAGCTTTTTATGTTTTTGTAGCATAATTATGAACTTAAACCATTTAGCAGAAAAAACATATTGATGATTTCTAACAGCAACAATTGGTAAATAAAGATCTATTAAGCACTGGGACCCATTTCAGGTAAGAAATCATTACCATACTCATGACAGCTAAGCTTCTTGTATAGTTGGTCCTCCTGTCCAACCAAACCTCCGAAGTGCGACTCTTTAACCAGAGCACCTAGAAATTTTCAAAAGCATAAGAAGGTATAGAAAAGGAAGGAGAAGCAGTCAACTTTTGAATAACCCCTACCCTCGCTAGGTCATTTCCTTCTGTATTTTGCAGGGCATAATCAAACACCTCAACCTTTGCTATAAGAGGCAAATGATCATAATCCGGAGCAAAACTAAGCATTAACTTGTGCTCTTGGTTCAACGTGATCTACAAAACAAGATATAGGGACCATAATCATCAGGCATGACCCAGACTCAGATATAAGAAACTTAGAAAGGTGGAGGGTTCGAACCCAACCTTTCTAGCATCCCTGTACTCCCGAATGAGCTGGTGCAAGGTATCACAATTTGGGACCCATCCTATGAGGCCACTATTTGGAGATAATGGAATGACGGAATATCTTTGAATAGAGAGATCCTTTTCGGCTGTTTTCCGAGAATTCCCGAGCAGAGTATTTACTAAACCGAAGAGCTGATAGAAGTATATTTCAGAAAGTAAGTTGATATATAATGGAGAGACAATGTATTACTCTTTATAAATTGGAAGTGAGAAAAATGTGCACAGTATATCGATCCACGCAATAGAACCAAAATACATAAAACAGATAGGTGAGAAGTTTTATGAATAAGACCTGCATGACACGTTCATCTTGGCGCAAATCCTCATGTCCCTTCAGCAAGAAAGCATAATCATTACCATCACTTCCATTAATAGTCAACTTACGAGGTCGCTGTTTGGATGTGATGACAACAAGCTGGGGTGCAAATGAAGTGATTGTCACCACTGGTGAATCTAGAGAACGAGCGGTAACTTTGTCAGAAGGGATAGCGAGCATTCAAAGACAACTAATACATACAGACATAAATTATGTATGTATATGTGTGCGTGTGTGTGTGTGTGTGTGTGTATATATATATATATATATATATATATATATATATATATATATATATATATATATATATATATTGTGTGTGCGTGTGCGCGTGTGTGTGTGTAGACATAAAAAATCCATCTATACCAGCTATATAGGTTCCAGGAACAGCGAGTTTCAGATCACGGCACTCCAACAGTTCTGGAGAGACAGACTGTTTTCATAAAAGAATAAACACCTTAATGTTTCTGAGCAGTAAATACCAATTACAAAAGGAATTCATAATTTTTAAACTAATACTGAGGTTTGGCTTATTTACAAAATTTACCCTATAATTTTATAAATTACAAATACCCCGGGGAATTACAAACATTGCCATGAAGTTTGTATCAGCTTTTACAAATTGTAACTGCCGATTACCACCTTTAGGAAAATGTTGAAATCAACCAAAAAAATGGGAAACCCCAATCTTAGAGATGATAAACAATATGTGCAATTTGAAAAACAGACAAATATAAAGGGTGTAATTGTAATTTATGAATTTAAAGAAATAAATTTTGTAAATAGGCCCAGCATCTCAGAATTGGATTTTGTAATTAAACAATTATAAAAAAAGAGCTTGTTCTTGCCTGCAAGTCCAAGGTGGTCAACGTTTGTAGCTGCTTATCTATCCTCCTAAAAACATGGTAATAGAGATCCCAAGCCTGGTAAGGCGAAATGTGTGTCCATTAGAAGTTGTACAAAACATTAACAATCAAATAACCTGAAGTACGCAACCACTCCAAATGCAAGTTAAATACAGTGCAACAGATATCGTAAAAATAAGCAGAAATACAGGAGGGCACTGCCTAACAAACATTTGAAACCAAACTGAAATACAGGAGGGCACCTCCAAAGCTACACACCATTTATGAATGCTATTCCCATTGATATATTGCAAAAATAGAAAGCTCACCTATATCCTATAAATTTATATATATATATATAATATATATATATATATATATATATATATATATATATATATATATATATAGAGCACAGAAGATTTTACAGACCAAAAAGTGCAAGATACAGTAACATAATAAATGAAAACCATCTAGAAATATTTGGATTGCAAGGACTATACTTGAGCAAGAGTAACAGCAGAGATATAGTGTAAATCAGCTGCATTTGGTATAACAGTTCTACTTATCAAAAAACATGTATAGAGTATACGATGATAAGACCAATGTGGGCACAGACAAGGAGAGGGAGCCAGTACTATCTCGTTCAGCAATCACCATAAGAAGACTGGTGATGGAAACAAAGGAGCACAGACAATAAATATTATGCAACTAAGTGGATTAAAAATGGTTATAAGAACTTACTATAGAGTAGATTTGTATGATGCCTCGTTTAATTAAATGAGACAAGTTGGAAACATAATGAGATTTTCTTGCAATGCATACCTGGGTTAATTCAGCATCTTTTCCAGTTCTTTTGTATTTCATGCAACATTCATAGGCCTCCAACAGTTCGTGACGGTATGCCTGGAGCACAAATTAATGTCCAATTATAACAAATAATCAGAATAGACAGGAAAATGATTTAATTAACGGTCTATAGATCAATTTTCTTTTGATTACTTTCAATAGACAGTTTACAGAATGATGAAAACGGAAGCTTTAAGAACACAAGTTAACATCTTCTGAGCAAAAAAGCCTCAAGTTTTTTCTTCTCTTACGGGAAAAAATCTTCCAAAGATTGACCACACAGCCAGAATATTGGAAACAAATTGGTATTTTAAAAGAAAGAATACCTGAATAAAAGCTTTCTCTTTTGTGGTGGTATTGTTCCTCATTGCACCTTCCTCAAGCATTTGGTGCAATGGCTCTAAGACGTTCAGCATTCCCTCAATGTTATGTTCACCAAAATATAAGCGGCTTGCCTCTTCCAATGCCTCATGCCACATTTCATGCCAAAGTATTGCGACTCGGATCAACTCAGTAGATACAAGTTGGGCCTTGCAATTAAATCATAAAAGTCAGAAAAATGAGGAGAAAAACACTAACAAACTATATTAATGGAAATATATGTTCACCTCATCCACTAGCACACCACTGTGCTGTCGAACTTTATCAACCACTTCTTGAGCTGCCTGTTTCCGTAAATTGCTAATAGATTTACATGCCACGAGAAGGGGGTACATAAGAGCCTGCAGATTACTTTATATTAGTCACATAAATAAGGTAAAAAGCCAGTTAGAATTAGTTACACATATTTAAAGATCAAAAAGAAAAGGAAAAAAAAAAAAAAACAGTACACATTTATATATAGAACGTTGCAAAAGTCTACTAGTTTATCTAGTGCACGTTACTTTGCTTCCAATTCCATAACAATAAGCCTTGCGCCTTCAAGGTTCCTCTAATTATCTATACTTTTAGAAAAGCATAGAACTTCTATATGAAGCTGCTCTTCACTGAACTTGCAATATCAAGAAACTCAATCAGAAGTAAAAAAAAAAAAAAAAAAAAAAAAAAAAGGAACCAAAAGGGCAAGTAAAATGTATCTGTCCTTGTCATTTCCTTTTTTCCTTCAACAATGTGAGGTATGATGCTCTGATACAACATCAATCAAACCCACTTTCCTAGTGATGTGTGATGTTCAACTAGAAACTCCACATGGGCCGACCATATCCATTAGCAAATTCTAAAGGAATATCCTTGATGAAAATGAGATCAAGGAAATGTTGTGCACAACCTTGCAATGTGACCCAGACATCTCATACCAAGATCAAAATAAAGTAGTATTTAGCTTTGAAGTCCAAGTAGACGGCAACTAATATTGATCATCCAACTGGAACAAAGGAAATTATGCAGTCTACTTTGTCTATTCCAGATGACATAATTGTTGAGGACCCCGTAAATTAACTTTCTACAGAACAGTAGTGAATTAGGAAAAACTGCATAAATCCTAATTTTCCTTTATTACTACTTCAATTCTAGTGCTCCACATGCATGTATTACAACACCAAAATGGAAAGGGCGATCAGCTTTCTGCTAGGAGATTGGTTTCCTGAGATGATATTAGAGGTTGATTTTGAAATATTTGGGAATTCCATATTGATGTTAAAGAAATTGGTCCAAGTTTCTTCCCAAGATCATCAGGATTGATGAAGCATTCTCTCTGTTCTACTTCTAATGTGGTTTTGAACTTCTGATTCCAGTTATTGTTTCAAGGCACCAAGACCTCCAGGAAAACAAGTGACCCTCGTGAATCACTTTTTTCATCTTTTATGAAAAGCTACCAATTCATACAAAAACCAATGATGTAATAGAAAAATATGAAGCAAAAAAAGTATCACCAAATATAATAACTAATGCTGCAGAAACAACATCAAACTAAGGAATTTGAAGAGAATACTTCATACAAAGACATCTGAGCAAAACTAAAACTAGTAATCTACAAAACTGAAAATCAGGATCGACTGCTAGCAGACGAGTAAAGCACATTTCTTAAAGCACATCGAAGTGTGATCAGTTAGAAAGATTGTGGCATATAGAAGGATTATGCATGTCATATATAAAAAACAAACCTGTGGATGACTCTGGCCAATCCGTACCAATAGTGATTGTATCAATTCTCTAACTGCATGGTTATTGGAATGTATCCTGGCAATTATCTGAGGCAGCACAACTAACCATGTGTTTATATTTACAAGTGAAAATCCTTTCTGTAATGCCAGCTGAACTTCTGATGTGGCTCCATGGTTGAACCACAAAGTGAGAAGACGGAGGATATCCTGAAATTCCAGATTACAACCATGACTACAAAAATCATGTTGATAAGAATATAATAAAAATTCTTACATATCAAGAGACGGGGTTTTTTAAGGAAACATCTAGAAAGAGAATTAAAAGCTAATTCACGAAACTGCAACCAAAATAAGTAGCAGCCAAAATGACGCAAAAGACATCTCAAATAAATTGTAACACTAATATCAAGCACTTTGGAAAATTCTCACTGGAGCACGAAAATTCAGAAAGTTTCAGAAGCTTCAGAAAATCATCTCTAAATGGTTTTACCTGTAAACTATCATCCACTCCTTTAGAATTTGCAGCACAGGCTATAGAGTGAAAATATCCAGTGACAGCAGCAACAACGAACTGGCCCGCAATACTAGGAAAACTTCTCAAGGTGTAATGAGACATAACTGCTGTATTAAAAAGTGCCCACTTATGCCAAGCTTTTGCCCACTTTGTTGCACAGTGAGTCGCATTTCGAAATGCACTGAGGATTTCTGGAACCACAGACAACCATACATCAATTAAATTTCAAACAGCTGGATCCACAATGAGCTTTAGATGGAAGATGGGGTCACAAAGAGACAGAAAAACATGTGTGCGCATGTGCTAACTCATGAGAGAGAAAGATAGACTCTCGTCAATTACCTTGTATGGATTCATCATCCAAACCAGGGGAAAGTGCCCACTGCCAAGTTCCTAATTTCAGATAAACACGGGCAACCAAAGGCATACTTGAGCTACCCAATATGCCACACTGTGTGGTTTGTTGAAGACTAGGTGTTCTTGCAAGGTCCATGGCCAAGTCCTGGAACACAAAAATTGCAGGGAAGCAAAACAAATCATCAGAGGATGTATTGAAAGCATTGACATTCGGGATAATTTAGAGCATACCTTGAGTCTGGCAAAGGCTTCCTTGCGCCTATGATCCTCCCCAAGTGACCATTGATATTTCAAATAAGCTAGAATTACTTGAGGATCCCCATGATATCGTACAGTTTCAGGAGTTGTTTCAGGATCAAACTACAATAGAAAGAGAGTAAATTGGCCATATATACATGTGAACGGATAGCATCGATGCATGCTATATGTCGATGAGCATCACTAACCTGTAAGAGTTTAGTCAAAGTCGATCTAGCTTGACTAATTCTGCCACTTTTACGGCAAAGAGAGGCAAACTTTATCCATGTCTCTGCATCTTCTGTAGGTGGCAGAACAAGTGATCTGACAGACAAAAGTGCTTGCCAAACCTGGAGTTTGAGTTTGAGTGTTACAGATGTAGAATATAGAAAACAATAGTATTGGAGGTGTAAGAGAAGACAGATGCAAGTGGAAGTGAGGAGTCAGAAATCACAGCTGAAGCCATTCACTGCATTATGTAGAAGCCAGCAGTAACAACCCCTCAAAAGAGAATATAAGAGAGCTTGCATTTTACCTCAACATTTCTTTTTGTGCCTTTTATGCGTTCGTTCCACATATTGCGGATGAGGACCCTCCGTCCCTCAGCAACAGGGTTTCCAACAGGAAGTGTGCAGTAATCAATTACCTATTTTGGGATGGCATCAGCCATCTATCATTAGGAAACTAATGTTTTGACGATTATGACAAATTCAACCAAAGTAGCTAAGATCTTGAAATGGCACAAAAACATATACCTCCTCTAATTCCGATAGCTGCTGAATGCGAACCATATTGCTGTATGCACGCTCATAGCTTTCAAGAACCTAGTGAAGGGAAACAGATAAAATTTCAGAGGCACTAGACATGACTTTGATATGTGTTAAATGTGATAACCGCGCAAATTTTAGATATTTATCTAGATGCCACTTGTTCAACAACTGCAGACCATGTCCCATTACCAAATAAATTTATGAACTTGGCTATTTTAACTGAGCAGTGTGCATTGATTTATAAGAAACACATAAGAGACAACCATTTTATTACCTAGTGAAGAAGACAATCTAAGAAATAAAAGCAATTAAAAGAACGAACGAGATCAAGCCAAGCTCCACACTAAAAAAATATATATGCGGAATATGAAAGATACCATAAAAAGTTGAATATATGAACAAAACATGGTTACGGAAAGGGGTTTCATATGGACGACAACTTCATAAGACAGTTAGGGGGCAGTATGAAATTTCACACTATACACCCTATAACTAAAATAAAGTGCAAAAGTTTAAGTAGATTATCAATCTGTGACCCCATATGTGAGCTACATCACTTATTGTCTATTCATTCAGAATTCAGTAGACCTTCAACAAATGGTTGTCAAAAAACCAATGTTATTATCAGTCATGTAGCTAATACTGAGAACTGGTTCACGTAGGAATGTAAACCATTAAACAAAAGCATAGAAAGAAAGTATACTACACCAATGAGAAAAAAGACAAGCCTGTATTTCTTTACTTTTATTTTTTATTGGGAAAAAAGAAAGAGAACTGGGGAAACACTTACCAGTGCAGCCACTTCTGTAGCCAAACATTTCCTTGCTCTTTCAACATATTCGTGTGCTTCATCATACTGATATTAAAAGGTGAAGAACAATGAGACATGTCAAATAAGGAATTAAAGAAAACAAATGAAAACCACAAAATTAAGGGCGACCTTTTCACGGCGAACTAATAGAACAGCCCTGAAAAAGGTCCCGTTGCTACTCCCATCCCCTGTAGCAGCAGTATTACCCAGAACTCGAAGTTTAGTTTCATCGCCATCATCCAATCGAGAAACATAGTCTGCCATCTGATCCCATTCTCCCATGTTCCAGGCAGCACTAGCAGCCTAAATTAATACATATCATATTTAAATAAAGTAATGAGGTAAAATGAAATGTGAAAAGGAAATTGACGTAAAAAAGTTTTTCATCATCCACCAAAATTGACGTAGAAAAGGATATATTTTAAACTGGTCCCAAGAATTTAGATATGGGATTTATAGCTTTTTGTTTACGTTTTATGCAATCGAGACAGTTAAGAGGAAAATGCTGATTTATTCTCATTCAGAAAAATCAATATCTAACAAAAGAGAGTGAGATGATGGGACAAAGGTATGATCTGAAGCCATAAACAAACCATTGGTGCCATCTCCAGCCGAGCAGCTGGCTCAGCAGGTGTCCAATACTCCTTGCAGAGATTGTTGAGCTCTTCCCACCGTGCAAGTGCGGCAAGGCATCTCATCCGCCCTTACACATACAAAGCAAAAAATTAAAAATTAAGAGAGGAAGCTCATCATCAAAGAAGATAAAACTTAAAGAACTAATGTTTACTGGTTTTTCAAATTAAATAGTTTTGGTACATTACAATCAGCACGATCATTTTCAAAGCAGCATGGATTTAAGAGAGTAAATAAAAGGGAACTAGCAAGGAAAAAGACTCGTAGACATAGCTCTATTCAAATTGAAACAAATTAATATCCCCCATGTGCTCATATTTGTAAGAGAATGCATACCCAGTGTTGCATCCAAAAGAAGATGTGGACTTGATGCTTGGGAGGCTTTAACAGTGTAAGCTTTGAGAGCATCATCCCAGCGCTGAAGTTTCTCATACCTTAACAAAAAGTAAGATCACTTAAATGCATTCACAGTAAATAATCAATAGTAGGTTTCATTTTTCAAGAGTTACTAAGAATTAATCTTACCATGACTCCTTCAATTGAACACCCAAATGTTGTTGAGCATATGTCAATATTCCAACTGCCGCCTGAACGAAAAAATATAACTCGCTTAACTTCATGAACGTAGTTTGTAAGCAAAGAAAAGCATATGAAACTCCAGCTGAAAGTAGGTAACAACCTCGTGTTGGTGTAATTGATTATTTATATGAATAAGAGCTTCCACTACAGCAATAGGGTTTCCGTCCATCCTATTTGAGCATGCACCTTCAAATTCCATCTCTTTATAATGCAGAGCCTTTGCGAATGCACGGCACTGAGAGATGGGAGAGAAAATACCCTTAGATGCACATTTATTTGCTTTATTGTAACTTTTATTTATATGTCGTGTAGTTTCAGACAGAAAATTCTAACCTTTTCTGCAAGAGCACCCAGTAGGCGAATATCAATAGGAAGAGGTCTCTCATCGTGTTCCATAAACTCCGCCTGAAAAAATTATTCTACAAACTGATTGGCATAACTCAACTTCATCATGCACACTTTCAGGAAACACATAAAACACAAACATAATGGGACTTCTGTATCTCCTATCAGCTAGTTATTCTCAATTGTACTTTCCAAATACCAACAGGCAACAACAATATGTAGTCATGCTCCCCCTTCCATGTCACTCAGCCTCATTATTCTAAGTTTCAAACAGCCACCCTTGAGAAAATGTGAAGACTAGAGATAAATCAGACACATAAAAGGGAAATCTTTGCTTCTCCTGGGATCTTCTTCCAAGGACAAAGAGCATACAGTTGAAGAATCAAATTAGTACAAAACTATAGCGAAGAGAATGCAGAATTCAGACATACCTAGCCCTCCCAACTATTCAAATTTAATTGAACTGATCAAGCAATACAACATCTAAGCAATCAACTTTACAACAAGAAGCGACAGCTTTAAGCCCTTAACAGTAAAAATAATCATTTCCTAGAAGGTGAAGAGAGTATGCAATAGACACAGCTATTCATTTGTAAGTAGTTAAACATACCAGGTTCAAAAGTGTAGCAAGAATTTCTGGAGGTATGTTTGGAGATGAAAATGCCATTTCCAAACTTCTTACTAGATGTTTTCGGCAAGTCTCATGCAACTCTGTCCAGCAGCTGACGAAACCAGCCGCAAACAACTCCCTTCCAACAAAAGGCTGCCAAAACAAACAGCATTAAGTTCTGATGATGGGAAGTCACTCTATCCATTTATAGTTTTCAGCTCAAGGGGTAGAAAAAGTTTTGCTTGGACGAGAGACAACAGAACACAAATAAGATGTAAGTAATGAGAATTACCTGAAGCTGGGCAAGTTTGGCACAAGTTCTCAGAGCCGGTGACGGTGATTCCTTCAGTAATTCAATGCTAAAATGCCTCATCCACTCTGCCCAGTCCTCTTTCGTACTACGTTGAGAAGCCTCCCCAGCAGCACGTAATCGAGCTTCATTAACCTATGAAAGATGTACAAACAACTCTGTTTGGCCGGTCTTCTAATGATGTTAACAGTCATATAAACAAAATTGTGTTGCTAACAGTGTAGAAAAGACCATCTTTAAAAATCCATAAGTATTAATTGGAAAAGAGAGAAGGCAAGCACTACAACATTCACTTCATAAGCAGCACATAGAATTTTCAAGCCTTTATCCAATTGCAGAATTGAGTACCACAATAGTCGATTGTCAGCGTTCAACACATGAATTCATGCACTTTTACCATGAGCAGCAGATTTTTTTGGGACTTAACTTTAGCAAGGGCGATAATTATCATCTGTTCAGATAAACAAAGGTGCAGCAGTCCGATGACCAGCACATAAGGACAAGTTTCTAGCAACTTAGCTGTTGTGACAATATTACAGTGTAATTGGCTCAACGAGCTATATCATCAAAGTAAATTCTAGAATATAAAGCTCCAGGGACAAACTCAAAGGTTTTAAAATGAGATTAGCTGTCAGTAAAGTATTGATTATCGAGTGGCACCAAATTTAAGAATTGCTCTGATTCAAGGCTTGCTGTCTTATGAAACCAAGTCAGGCTTCTTTTATTCTTATTTCACTGTATTTTCTCAAGAACATGAGATTCACTGTATTTTCTGTATAACATGAATTTATGAACTGCATAACATTTTTATCATATCTGCCACTTTTTAAGGCAACAGTAGACAGGTGAAAGGAAAGACCAACTGCATGGAGGGAAAAGTCAATGTACCTTGTGAGGCTTGTGAGGATCAATTCTATCCTCCCCATCACTTAACGGGTCACTAATAACCTCCCCGGGAGGCCGTCGGTTTTGTTTCTGAGAAGCAGTATGCCCTAGGATCAAAGGCTCCCGTTTTTTTAAACGGCCTTCAATTTCTTCAAATTCCTTATGCTGGTCAAAGAAATAAGTTTGCTTAAAATCTTTATGAACCAGAGAAATACCTTGACTGCCAATGACAGAGATGTAAAACCAATAATTACAACAGTACCCGCATGCGATGCTTCAACAAAAGCTTATGGATGGACGGGATGAAAATAGTGAAGTCTTCCCCAAGAGCATGAGCTAGACAACAAAGTGCATCAACAACATCCTTTCTAAGCTCATCATTTTTCCTGCAAAATGGATACCTACCTTAAGTGATGGGGAAAGAAAAACAAAAACAACTAACAGCACCAACAATCAGCTAATAACTACAACAGGAAAACATATCATCCTTGACTCTTTATGAATAAGAGTGTAACTCAACCCAAGAACTGCCTTATAAAGCAAGTGATCAAGCCCCTCACTGAACATGATACAGTGATCGCAGAATGTGATCTTTCCCTTCAATGTGGAGCAGGGGCAGGTATAGATCATTATTGCAGATTGTCTTACAACATGCAAAAATACTTTTTCAATGCATTTCGAATAACAGAGTTCAATACTATAATGTTAAGTAGCTTCATGTGAATTAGAAAAGAGAGCACAATTATCCCTCCACTCTTGGAAAGTATGGATAAAGAAATTGTCAACTCTGACATCTGACTATGGTGTCTAACTATTACAGGCTGCCAGATTTAAAAAAAAATCCTATGAAAATTATTTAAGTGCTAATCATTCTGTGAGGGGTTAAGTCTAAATCCAGGTTTACATGATGATTTAAGTGAGGAAATATATGCAAGTTCAAAGATCATATGTTTTCCATTTTTATCAAGGATTCAATAAACTCCACATTGCATATTTATATAAAAATTGAGAGGGGAATCATACCCGTCCAAGACAAGCTTCAAGTGATGCACAAGAGCTGAAATGTGCCCGGTTACCTGATTAAACAGAAAGACAGATAGAAATAAAGAAGAAAGACAATGGGTAACGTAACCATAATTTAATGCAAACTGAAGAAAAGAGAATATGGGTCTAGTTGCAACCTGTACACGAGGTATCAACTTAGTCAGAGTTCTGATAGCAGCGCGCCGCACTTCTACTGAAGCATCCACTTTGAAAATTCGAATGAGTGCAGGAAGAAGTAGATGCATATGCTCATCCAATGTTCCTACAGATTGAGGTCAAACATTTCACACGTGTATATATATATATGGCATCGATGAAGTGTATGAAAAGTGGCTGAAACAAGAGCTACTGACCACCAAAAACTTCAAGAGTGTGGAGAATATCAACGACATGAGTATAGTCTTTAAATCTTTCAGCATCACTGAGGACTTGAATGCAGGATGGAAGAATAAAAGGAATATGTGTCCTAAATTCATCATTGAGAGCCAAACAAAGTTGCTCGAGGAGATGGAGAATCTAAAAGTTAAAGACCAGGAACTATATTATCAAACATTTATTTTTATGGTGTATAACACAAAACATGATCATTGACAATATGCCACAAGAGTACCACAGAAGCAGATTTACCGGAGATCCGTGGACTGGTCTGTTAGTAGCAGGCAAACTGAAGGATGACCATAATTCCGATATTAACTTGAACAAATCTGGCAGATATTTGCGAATATGCTGCACATGCAGAATAAGAATGTAAAGGATCTCAAGATGATTGAGAACACTAAAATTAGAACATTATGCATACCTGGCGAACAATAGAAACCAGAGTTCCCAGTTTCCATGTAATATACTCCTTAAGACCATCATCACACGTACGAACAGTGTGAAGGAGATCTGGCAGAACCTGATAACACCAATTTAATTCAGAAACATTGCAAACAAGGACAAAAAAAACCAACAACAAACAAATCCAGCAGCATCTACAAGATCATTGTGCCAAATAGGATTCTGAACTTTACAAGGATTGCACTACATACACCCGTTTCAGAACTAAGTTCGATACGGTTTGAGGTTTTTGTTGACTTTTTCTCTACTAACAGAAATCCTGAAAATCCAATTCAAAAACACTTTCAATCTGTTTCAATTGGTTGGGAAGTCCATCCAGTGGACCCTGGGAAGTGACTAATAGGTGGCTGGATGACTGAATGAATAAGTGGTGCACAAATATAAACTAAACAGGGCATTGAAAAGATATGAAGAAAGACATGGAAGAGAGTAAAAATCAGTTTGGTAATGAGTGATGTGTCTCAAAATAAGGCAAGATAGGAGGTACTTCTGTCTATATAAATATACCAAGAATTGGCTTCTTAAAATGATACAGGTGATGGAGAGTTGTTTGCTGTACATCTCAGAATAACGAGTATTTTAACACCTTATTTAATTTAGTCAATGAATAAAGAGTTTTTTTCTTTTTCCATTTGGTAGTGCGTTTCTATTATCTTCCTTTTTGCTTCTAATGATTTGAAGAATGCTGAAACAGGTTCAAATCCTTAGGAATAAATAGCATGTTTACATATAACATCATTCTTGCAAGTAAGAAGAGAACTGTATAAGTAGATACGTAATTGCAATAAAACATTAGACTAACCTTGGGTAAGTAAGGAACACAGCCAAGACCCATTACCTTATCTCGCAAAACAAACAAAATAATACCAAGTAAGCAGTACAGTAACAGAAACAGGAAGTGTTCCATAAAAGCGTGCAGTTTAAAACAACGGCAGGTATAAAAAGCATAGACTGACCTTGAATATGAACATGAGAGATCCAACCACCTTTTGGTGGTAACTAGAAAGTGAAGGATCTCTAAAAATTCGGACGAGGGAACTGATAGCGACCTGAACTAAATCAGTGTTAAAGAAAGCACAAAAAGATCATAGTGATTCATTATCATGTCATTATGCCGAATAACATGGATGTTAGATTCAAATTCTCACAGTGGAATAATAATCTTCCGATGTTGCAAAAGATGGCCAAAGATCCATAGGTAGTTCATCCATTGACCGAATATGCTGGCCAGGATCACCAGCTGTGCGGTTAACTTCGCCATGGGACCCTGGTAAGCGTAGTTGATTACGTTTATGTGCATGGGGATCTAAAGCACCCATTATGCCAAGAACCTAGAGTCACCAGCATTGTTTAAGCTTAAAATCATATCTCAAAGAAAACTTTGAATAGTCAGTTAAATGCAGCTACCTTCAAAACTTCACGCCTGGTTGACCAAACTAGTTCACCATTAAGCAATTTTAGAAGTAATCCAAGCAATGGTGGATACTCATTGTACGGAGATATAACGTAACTGCAAAATCATATCAAACACCATGTTCAAGGGAGTTAAAAAACTAAACGATCTCACATCAATCAAGAACTTCAACATTATCACTAACTGGTTTGCGTTTAATTAGTTTTCCAAATAACGTAGAAGTAAGGTCATCCTGACCCAAATGATTGAAATATTAGGATCAAAGTTGGAGCAGACAGATCTGAATTTAGTCCATATAACAGCTCATCACAACAGAATTGAATAAATATAACCAAACTCTTCAAACCAAAGGGTGCAAAAGCTTTTTTGTATAAGTAGAAGTAGGTGATTGTGAGTAAAGTTGAAAATAAAGGCTTAGTTCTAAAAGTTGGGGGTGTTTGCAAATCCTTCAAAATAAATCCATTTGCCTCAATAAATGCATCACTAAGTGGAAATATTTTTATTTGAAATAAATTACTTAGTATATATATCCTTTTGGGTACTATGAAACCTCATACGGTCATACTGAATAAACCAACACATCCCTTTCCATAGCCCACTCATACTGATTACACTAACACATCCATTCCATAGCCCACAGCTCTTTACAGTGAAGTGATATAGACATACGAAAATAAAGAACCCATGCCACTGTATAATAATCATACAACTCATTACTCAGTCACCAGAAAATATATACATAAATTTAAATACAACAGAGATATTAACCAAACACAATAAATAGATCAAAAATTAGACATACCCAGTGCTTTGTACCACTTGACCTAGAGTTGTAACAGCCACTTCGCGTTTCGTCGCAGCAGCACCATCTAATAAGGCTTCAACAATTAAGGGCATAAGTTCTGGAATATACTGTCTCATTGCAAAGCCACCCTGAGCATATGAGAGCAAGAATGCAAAGGTATAAGCGTGAAATAGTATTCATGTTATCAAACATGTAAATAAGATGCAACAAGGCTGAACTACCCAAACATCCAAGCGTTAACAACCCCCTGAAACAGACTGGAAGTCCTCAAATGTAGCGTGATTTCATTTCAATAAAACTTTCTTTATCTAAAAATTGAGGCTAAACTTGTTCAGGTGGAAACATTTGGCCCCACTTTTTACGTTAAACGGAACTAAAGTCAATAGTGCATCCCATTAAGGAGTGTTTGGAACTTTCGGTGGAGCAAAATGGAACCACTGAAGTGAAATATTTGTATCTAAAGAGGTAAATTGTTGTCCCTATACAAACTAACAATCTTGAGAGGAAAAAATAGTTTCAATGCCAACAACCACGAATACGATCTTGCTAAAACTCATTATTACTACCAATTAGTAATTTTTTTTATTCAAAGATAGCCAAATCATGATAGATAGTAAAGCCCATGCAGGTTTCAATAAAGATGTATCCTCCTTTTGATAAAACACATGGATAATTCATAGTAATATCAACTTGTTCAAAATCATGACTCACTCCATTAATGCAAATATAACATTATTAATATAAGGGAGTGAGATCCAAAATATTCCATTGCGTCTTGGCCTATAACAAAATAATCGGTACAGAATGTAGTAATCAATAAGGCAATCAGCAAAAATACCCATTGACCAACAAAACTCATTAAGAAATACCTACCACTCTGGCAAGATCCCCAACAGTTACCAGAACTCCACTTATAATGCCATTATTAGCATTCACCCCAGTCCCCTCGTTGAGTTTTGCAATTAGGGCCTGAAACATCAAAAATGTCATAAAAACAAAAACAAAACACTGAAGTAACAATTTGTTCTAGTAGATACTAAACCTTGTGCACGGGAGCAATATATGGGAGTATTAATCTCTCGCAATTGCGGATTAAGCATCCTAACAATTTCGCACTTTCTTCTCTGCATTTGCTATCAGCACTGCTCACGAAGTAGAAATGTCAATAACATACAATTAATGAAATACCGAAGACAGGGAATCTGAAGAAGATAGCATTACGGCAACACGGTCAGCAATTAAAGCTGTCCAATAAGTTTAAGCAATTGACGGGTTTCAAAAATACCTTTGTTTCAAATAAGTTAATAATTGTATAAGATGGCGACGCAGAGCTGGAAGAACATATGCTGGATTTTTTTCAGATAGTCTTCCAGCCACTGAAATTGCAAATTCCCGAACTTCAAAATCCTAAAAAGGAATAAAGCAAGTTATGAACTGACTATGTTGTATCACAAAAGAGACGTTCATTTAGATATAATACATCACACAATCTGAACAGGATAACTAGGGTTCACCCTTATCCCTGTCTCAAGAAAATCAAATTCCCATTGCATGAATGCTAAGGAGCTGTTGGTGTTTTCTAGGTTTTTTAAGGAGGAGTATCAGGCAATATGTGAGAAATAAAAAGATATCTGGTTTTGATTTGGAGGAAGACATTTTCACTGAGTTTTGTTGTTAAGAAACCGAGTGGAAGATTGATATTTCTAGTAATATAACTGGAAGATGAAAATATATATTCAAAATTCCTGGTTACAATACCTCATCATTTAAAGCAGCAAACACTGCAGTCAAACAATCAGCCTGTGCCAGAAAATCATCAAACCCTCCACTCTCTTCCAAAGAAGCAAAAATAGATCGTCGAACAATAACATCCGCATCAGCAACAGCTGCAATGAGAAGCTTTTCCACAATCTAAACAAGAAAAATAATATCAAAATAATGTTAGCAAACAGAACTAGCCAACAGAAAAATATTAGAGAAATTAGAGAAAATCTCAAAAATATCAGAGTGCCTCCTATGTGGTTCTCAGAAAATTAGAGAATTTGTTTACTTATGAGAGAGAACTTAAGGCAGCCTCACTCCTGAAGTTAATAAACAGATATCTTCTTCAAGACACAGTCTGCCTGAAGAAGTATGGGGAATTTGGTGCTCTGTAGGTTACACATATGCAAACATAGACGAATTCAAATCTGACAATATTATTGAACCACTTTTGTGTTCCAAGAAGTTAATCACAGTTGGGGATTAAGAATAGTTGAACAGAACCAAACCTCCTCAACAAGCCGCCGGCGCTTTCCGCCAGCACGACTTGTCCTGCTAGAGCTAAACTGTGCGGGAGAGATGCCAGATAAGGAATTTGCCATTAATTTGCAGCAACACAGAGCAGCATCTTTTCGTGTACCTCCATCCTCATCTTCTAAATAGAGCACAACAGACTCTCTTGCAAACTCAAGAAGATCATGACCCTGAAACAATAGCAATAAAACAGGAAAAGCAAGAAGCATAAAGTACTTACAAAAAAACCCTAACAAACTTAAAAATTAAGTCGGCAGCAGAACGAGAGCAGAGAGCTAAAAGATGAAGCAACCTTGAAATTAAAGCGGGCGAGAGTTTGTAAAGCAAGTTGAACAAGAGCAGAAGCACTCAATTCTGGTACTTGCAAAGTAGCACCTATGCTACTAGTCCGAGCAAGGCCTGTAGTAGGCCTGGATTGAACTTGGTTGTGACGAGAAAGAACTCCTGAAATGCATTCTAGCAAACGTACTTGAATGGTTGGAAGCAAAGATGGAATGCTGCAACACCAGAAAAACTCGTCAGAATCACTGACTCAACATTAAGACAAAGAAGAACAAGCATTATGCAAGACGTCTTCTGAAGACCTGGCAGTAATGTTCTCAAGGGCTTCCACTAGAGTGGAGGATAATCCAACTGAAAACATCGCATCCAAGAGACTACGTACATGAGGCTCCATAGAAGGCCCCATAGCCTTTGCAAGATTTCCAACGCAAGCCAATGCCTCCATAGATGGTCGCCCTCTACGAGGAGCAATCTAAAAATAACAAGATCCCTTGTAAAGAGTATTGTATGCTAGATGTATACGCAGTGCCAACAAACTATTGATGTTAATTCATGCTCATACCGCATCCCGCAAGTGAGACGTTATTGTCGGCAAATAATTGATGAGCTCACCATCCAACGCACCCGCCATTTCCCCAAGAGCAATGAACCCACTAGCAGCCTCTGCAGGTATTTTGAGGACATGAAGTATATGCTTCATGCAAATCTGTGAAAGAATAGATTTTATCAGCCAAACTGTCACAATAACATCACAAAGTACATTTACTACATACTAGACTTATAGTTATTTTCAGTAGAGAAAACAACTAACCGTCAAATAGTTAGTCACAAAACGATCACGTAGGAAATGGGCAATTCGAGGAAGCAAAGAAGTTATGCTGAGACGAACAAGCCGGTCCCGGTGCTCAAGATATTTGAGAACAATCTCAGCAACTTCTCTATATCTAGACATCATGAACTCCCCTGTATTCCTGTCAAATGGCATCGTCCCTCTCAATAAGAACCCGCTTATAGTGGAAGTTTTTTTATTTAGTTTAGACCTCAGCGCCTCTATGAAAAAGCAAATTCTGATAGCTTAATTCCAGCGATAGGTAGAATCTAAATGGTTGTTGTCTGACAATGTTTCCACAATGTTAAACTATCTAAGATACAGTGACAGGTCTGATGCAAAACCATGGCCCATTTTACAAAGAAAAGATAAAAATAAATAACACAAATTAATGTAGGAGACAATATCAATTTCAGGTAAAAAAAGAGGACCAAAACAAGAATTATATTTTGCAGTGAACTTGACATCAATTGTTATTTCTAGAAAAAGATTAATATAACAAAAGCAACTTAACAAAACTTGAGGCTAGCCTCATTGGAAGAACATTATAAGGGAAACTAAACATGAAATGCCCATCAAGATTCAAAGCATGCATAAATAATGTGCTGCCAAAATAAAGCACACTCGATTTACTAAAGAGATGGTTGAAAATGTCTAAAACAATATTTTTTGTCAGCTAGAAATAAAAACTCCAAACTGCAAATAATGCAGAAACAATCTTTGCATAAATAGGTGCGATGTCAGGTATTAAAAATACAATCTAAAACAAGTTCTAATAAATGCTTAAGGTTAAGGAACCTCGAAACAGTAAAGCACAAAAGTCTGTTAAGATAGAGTACAGCATGCACCCCAGCTTCTGCACGAGAAAAAAAAACCACGATCTAGACCTACCTCAGCAGTTCCCCAACTGCAAGCAGAGAACCATGTATGCTATGTATAGAGGCATTTTTTCCCAATCCATCTTGTGTAGCCTCAAACATACGATAATACCTGCCATAATCACGAATTAGCAACAATTGTCCAACATACGAATAACTGAAGAAAAAATCATTCAACTGATCAAATTTTTCTAGTAGCTCATTACCAATTTTCTTTTTCTTTTTTGGTGAAAACCGATAAAAAGATATACGATCTGATAGAATTCAGGACAGATATAACAGTAGAAACCTGAAAAGACTATACTTAAAAGCCCGTGGGTGTTTAGTTTCAATGAACAAGAAAAGGAAATCTCCAGTATTAAATCTTATGGCATGGCCACATACTACTATGACTTCTCTTAGTTTTTTCGTGTTTGTATAAGACATACGCAAAAAATTGTACAAGAAAAAGATGCTATAAAATGTAAAAACAGATCAAGCATTATCTTAAAATGTCACGGAAAAAATGATCAATGTCCAATAATTAGATAGCAGATCCAAATCAATTTCGCATTTGCTAGTTTTTTTCTCAACAGTCTAAAAGAATCTGAACACCTCTGGAAGCACAGAACTGACTCGTTACCACAAGATCTCTTCACAACTCTTGATGATGCACTTATTTTATAATTATCCTTTTCAACTCTTAAGTTCTATAACAGATAAGAAGCAGAAAAATATGGCATGACTACATTTGGATGGTAATAAATTAACTACGGTGTTTATCGCACAGGTGAACCATTGTTACACAAATTGTTAGTATCACCTAACAAGTACCGAAGGAATAATGGAGAAAATCTCACTTACCACTGGACACGCCACCGGGTCTCACGCTTCTCAATGACCCGAAGGCAAGCTCGCAATGCCTCTACAGCTCGCTCTCGAATATCCAGTTTTTGATCCCTCAGAGCAACCCAGATGGCATCCACAAATTCAGGAACATGCACATTGAAAACTGTTGAAGCGTTCTCGGCCATTTCCTGCAACAATTATTGACAACTTTTAATAGATATCATACGGTGTAAAAGGTCCAATCAATTTGAACAAATCAAAGTTCCGTTGGACAAACATTTTTATCAACAGTATGTTGAAAGGTTGGGGCTATGGTGTTTAACTAGCTTCTAAAAATGAAGGAATTTGGTGGCGAGTTTAGATTTTTCTCTGTATATTATCTAAATTCCCTTGGGGGACTTCAGTCATCTATGATCCGATTTTGGATTAAAAGAGTCTTGGTTCACTAGTAGAAGATAAGTCTGATCCCTAATAGAAATTGTGAGGCTGTTGATTTCTCCACGAGTCTAGACATACAACTGCCTCCAATAACTTGGTCAATCAATAATCAATAGGAGCAGAGAGAAGGAACGTACTTTTAAAATTAACACAGCAGCAAAAAGACGATATTCAACTCTTTCACCACGAAGCCACTCCAGTGCAACTTTAACCTGACAAAATCAGAGATGATAAGTCAGAAAATTATGAGGCCTCCATACCATGACGAACAGGAGGTCTTATACATACCAGCCGTTCTACTTCATCAGCTGTCATTGCTCCACCAGCTCTGGCCAAGTGGCCCAGAACTTTACTGGCAGTAACCAAAGTTTCCGGATCACGTTTTGCCTCAAATGTGGTACGCATGTAATTTGCAATCTTTGCAACTTTCACAGCATTCTCCCCAATTCCAACATCTATAAGCTCATCAATGGCCCTCAGTGCACCCAAATTTTCAGCAACTTCATTGCTTTCTAAAAGATTGGTGATACGATCATAGAGGTGATCCACAAATCGTGAAAACGCTTCACTGCTGAGATCACGGGCTTGTTCCTCCACATGTCTCCGCAATGCTGAGGCAGCCCCATCCTAAAAATTAATTAAGCTTTTTCATAAAAAAATCCAGTGGATTAAACAATATTAGCGATTCAAGCGAACCTAAAAGAAATGGCCCAATGAGAAACGTTAACAAAAAACAATTGATATAGATATACTAGAAGATCATGGGACTCCAATCTGTAAGATGTCCGGTAGGGTTTACTACGTAGAATTAAAAGAAATAAAAATTTAAGGAATTTGATTACAGATCAAAGCAATTTAAACGTGTCAAACAGAAAAACGACTTTCCAATCCTTCACGTAGCCCCAAAACGAACCAATTTTAAGCATGTTAAAAACAAGCAACAAACGAATAAGAGGAAATCGTGTATTGCCATTTTGGGCCACTAAAGCACGAATAAATGTCATTAAACAAAAAGTGAAGAGGAGATAAAAAGGCAAACAATAAATTCAGACCTTGGGATTGCCACGGATGCAGAGATCAGCTAGCACTCGATTTAGAGCGTCCAGGTTGCTGGCTCCCGTGGCGCCTGCCGGGGCTATATAGCGAATCGACTGTGATGTCGTAGCCAGCGCCATGCTATATATCGTATATACACACACACACAATGGCTATATACTGTATATGTCTATCGTATATATACACACACACAATACAAATGTCTCAAAACCCTAACCCGATTCTTCGACGCAAAAAATGAACTCTGCAATGATAATCACTGTCAATAACAAGTTACAATTCACGAATGCACACACAAAATAGTTGCATAAACAGAGAACTTGCACAACGATTCTCGCTATCAAAAAAACGACTACAATTCGTGAACACAATCACAGCCAAACATATTTCTCATAACCCTAAAGAGCTCCTTTTAACACACCAAAAAACACTATATCATAATCCTTGCTCCCGAGATTGAAGAAATAGTTGAATTTCGAGGTTTTCGTAGCGCATAAATAGTAATTACTAACCGGATTTCGTCAATCGAGATTCACGAAATAGTTGAATTCGTCAGTATTTACATGATCAGATAAATTATTTTAGAGAGAGAAAGAGGAAAAGAGGCGCTGTGGTGGGAACTAGAGTGAGAAAATAAAAAAGCAGCCCTCTGAAATCGACGCTGAAATTCACCAAAAACCCTCTCTGCTATACGAACTCCCCTCTGCTATTTTTCTTTTTTATGTTGATTTATTTATTTACGGTATTTTTCCTTGTATAGTTTCTTATTTAATTTTCCCGTTATCAGCGCGTGCTGTCAAACGGGTCTTTTTTTCTTTTTTTCCTTTTAATTTAATTTAATTACTCCATAGTCCTTTTTCTTTAATCTTCCAAATTTGCTTTTAATTTATTTTCTCTCAATTTAATGTCTCATGTTATTAGTGAATTAATAATTAATACGTTGAGTATATCAATCAATGTTTACGAAGATAAGAAAAATGTGCAAATTTTGAACTCGTTGTTGTAACTACGAGAAAAATTGTTACTGAAAATTTGAAACCGAGTTTTTGAGATTTCGGGAAGTACTCTTTCGATAGATCCATAATTGCGGATGTAATGATAATTATAAAGTTGTATTCAATATGAAGTCGGACAGACGGACACGTACTATTTTCATGAAATGTTCGATACGACCGTTGTAACATAATTGAGCGTTAATTTAATGAGTAAATACACAAATTCATCAATTTTCAAAAAATAAAATAAAAGAAATGAATAAGAGAGAGATTATAACTATTTTCAAAAGAAATTTTGTGAATTATAACAAATTGGTGTTACTTATGAGTAAATTAATAAAAAAAAAAAGTATAAAACCATTAAAAAAATAAAGATATACAATCTTAACTTTTGCATGTCAAAGTCAAAAAAATGAAATATAAAAAATTGTTATTGAAAGAGGGAAACGAGTGCTGATTTTTGTTATTGAATTTAACTTCTTTTTTAATGAAAAAATAAATCATAACATATATGAAAAGCATATTAAATGAAATAAAGAAATTATAAACTTAAACTTCTCCCAACAGTAAAAAAATCACTACGAAAAAAAATTAAAAAATTAAAATCCACCAACTAAACAACAGACTTGTTACAACCTGACAGCACAAGTTCAATGTTTACAATTTGTTTTGCATTAGATTGAGAAGAAAGTCTGTGAAAATATGCTCATATTCTGGCATTTTTCCATACCCTGTCAGCACCAAATACAATCAAGAAAAAGAAAACCCAGTAAAAAATCGCGTGTTAAAAGAAATAAAAAAGTCGTATAGCAGAAAACACGATTCTCGATTGAGTTACGGACCAAAAAAAGAAAACGTAAATAAGAAACTGATCGACACTAACCAGGAAAATAGTTGATATCAATCACGTAATACAGATCTTCGGTTCCATTCTCACGAATCACATCTAGATTGAATAGTTGGAGTCCCTAATACGACCAGAATTCACACACATTAACAAAAATAAAAATATTATGTCATTATATAACGTGCTGAATTTTTTTCATTTTACCGACAAATTTTTGTACCAGTCGATGATGGAGCTCTCTTGCAAGAACCTCAAGCAAATGATGTGGAGGAAGTTCTGCAGGAATCAATTTTACGAAAATTTTTGCACTTCAGCTTAAGAACAAGGTAAGAAAAAAAGATATGGATGCTATATTCAAACTATAAACGAAGATGTATGATATTCGGAAAATAAAAGAAAAGGCCAATGAGGAGAAGGTTGTAAAAATTTATGTCAAGGTGGTCAAAATCGGGAATTCAAGTAGAATCGAAAGGGGACTGTACAATCGAAAAATCCTAGGAATTTAACCGGGATTTTAACTACGTGCTATGCATGAATGAAATAAATGATAAAGATTACATATTTTTGTTATAAAGAAGCAAAACTTACCAGAAACAGAAGGATCTAGATCATCACAATCTACAGAAGCTGCAGCACAAGAAACCCTAGGGAAGTGAAAAACTCCCGACATTTTCGATAACTCGTTTTTAGTCAAATCAGGCAGAGAGCGACGTCTCACAACTTTAATCGACTCTCCAATAATAAAAACTTTAAAAAGAACCCCACCTGATATAAAAATAAAATTTAAAGAATTAAAAAAATCGGTTAATTGAACGATCTGAAAGTAAGATGATAACAAACTTACGAAAATGTACATCATACCATGATTAATGAACTCTTGTAATATTATCGGAGCTTCGAGCCCTGAGAGTGAAAACTGATCGTACGCAAGGAATAGTTCGTGAGACTTTGCACTTCCATCCACAACCAGTGGTTTTACGACTGAACAGAGAATTAAATAAATTATAAATAGGAGAAACAAGAGTAAAAAAGGAAAGAATGTGATTTGCCAACTTCAATTATTTGCTTGTCAATTGTATTACCTAGAGGAACTCTTAATCCAGCTTTAGTAACTTCGTCTGGTACTGAAGTGGGATCTTTAGAAATCACTAACTGTTTTGGTATGCAAACTTTGCCTACAAAATGTGATAAAGAATGTCGAAAATCACAAAAACTTGGAAAGTCGTCTAGAAGAAAACAAAATATAATGGGAATGCAAAAAATAAATAAATAAAACTGGAAAGTCGAAAAGTTACCGTAGTTGTCGGGAAATTTAAGATCAGCAACCACCTCGAGCATTGATTGACGGTTACGTAATTGTTGAATGGCATTAGGAGGATCAAGGACTGTCACCTCTGAGTGCGTTCTCTGATAATCCTTTACAGATAAAAAAAAATAATAAATAAAAATAAAATAAAATAAAAAAATAGAATGAGATCGGATAAAAAGATTATGTGGTATAACAGAAATGATCTTTTCAGATGCCCAAGAGTTCATCCGTGTTTGACAGTTGCAAAATTTAATATTCCAAAATAAAGAGTATCATAACTAATACATCTAAAGATGTGAACAGATAAACGTTTTTAGATTCATGACATGGGGTTGCATAGAAAATTCGATTCATAAAGCATGGTAATATTAGAGCACAAACCTCAATAACCTCGGACCACTCTTTTCCAGCTAGCTGAAAAACAAAAAACAATAACCAATCAAAAAAGAATCCATCTATTTTATTTCTAAATCCTTTCGACAGAAACCTACTCATGTAAGAAGCATGAGTTTATATAGATATGATTAAATTCATATTGTGGATTGGGACGAGTGGCAAGAACCAATAAATGCAAAGGTGAGATTATCAAGTCACCTAATAAGGAGCTGGGATTTTTTCATATTTTACTTTTCTTCCTAATTGGAGATTATTCTGTTAACATAGCTAACATATAGTGAAAGAAAAAAAAACATAATCTCTGTTCAGGGTTCTAAATTCAACGATGGCAACTCTCCAGTCATATAGATCACTATTTAATTTATTGCTTTACCGAGATAAAAACATTGGACTTTTCTGTTGGATATTCGAAGAATCCAATGCATCCAATCAGATTAACAATACAGCACAAATAGCATAGACGTGTGTATCGATTCAAGACAAGCTTTCTTTAGTACCCACTGAAATTAAGAAGTTGGTTGGAAGGATTTGGTTCAACGGTGAATCCGACTCTAAGAATTATGATAAAAAAAAATATTGCAGTAATTTTGTCCCCAAAATCCAATATTATGACAGTAAGAACCATTACATCTATAGTAACATTTCCCAAAAAAACTACAGAGTACGGCCAGTAATATCTCAAACCTTGTGTAAAATAATGTTGAATGGACCTTGCTCTGATAAAGGCCTCTTCAGATCAATTGCAACAAATTCAATTCCCTTATTTCTGCATTAGATAATACGACAGACAACTTTTAGTAATATGAAAATTTTAGCGTATATTGTATAAAATACATGCAGAAACATGCTTTCCTACAGGAATAAAAAAAACCGGTAATCATGTATTTGCATAAAATACGATAGTAAGCTTCCACTGACTATTAACAATTAACATTGGAATACTAATTCTTGTAAACAGCGAAAGGGACGGCATTTAATACTAGATCTTCCAACTGCAGAAAGAAAGCAACAGCATTGGTTTTGGATATAAAACCATAAAGTCAAAAAATAAGTTGACTGTAGCCCACATAGCACATATTGTGGAATATTCCCACCAAAGAAGCATTTTCACATACATGCCCAATATTGCTCCTAAAACCACTAACATGATTGGATGGGCCAAACAAAAAGATGATAAATAACTATTCCCGTATTGCCCCTTTTATCGTGCACGTGTTATTCTATTCGAATTAGGCAAGCAGTGCATATCTTTAACCATGATTATCCACTCCAAGTGGCCACAAATAAATCAGAGTAATTATCTGATTTATTACATTTCCAAGATCGTGATTATTGCAACTAAACCTATGCATGCACCGGACCAAGATTGCAGCGAAATCAACATATTAAGCTAACCAAGAATCAAGATCAGTAAATAACTAAATATTTACATATTGTTAATATATCTCTCTATATAATTCGCACAAAATATTCGCAGGAGAATCCAAACAAATTGGTACATTATTATACAGAAACGGAAAAAAATATATATATTAAAAAAAAATTGAAAAAAAATGTGGAAAGAGTACCGAGCTAAGCGAATAAGCTTGGGCTGCAAAAAGCTCTTCGTCTTCTTCGAAGTGAGAGCATAGCCAACTACGATCCTCACCGGCGCCGGCGATATTTCGGAACTTTGTATTCCTTCCTCTTTTTTTCCGTCATCCACGCATGGATGAGAAATCGGCCCCTGCAATTTCATTCTCTCTTTCTCTTCACCGTAAAAAAAAATTTCAAAAAAAAAAACCCTTGAATTTGAATTTCCAAAATTAATGGCGAAATTCCGGCGAATACGAACACAATAGAACGCCTCTTCACCCAGTCGTTCTCCTTTTTCCCCAAAAAAAAATTAAAAAAAAAAAATCAACAAATTAAAGTTTTCCTTTTCTCAATCCGATAACGGTTCGGAATAATAACGGTAGAAATAGGATCAAATGCGCAGAGGCGAGATGAGTGCAGAAGATTTATATATATATATATATACATACATATAGATACAGAATTATAGATACATGGGCGAGTGCATGTAGTGATGGTGTATGTATATGTGCAGAAGAAGGTTCTATTTGGAGCTTATTTGTTGGGGCATTTTCAAATGTCACCATTCACCAATTTTATCAATGTGCTAATTAAATATTAATTATCTTATTAAAATATAAATAAATAATTACTATTTTTTAGTAGTAGAGTGGGTGATACTGATGGTTCCTCCACACACATTTTGGATGCTATATTAATTAGGGGAATATGCTAATAATCATGATTTTTTTCTTTTTCCAATAAAATACAAATCCATCATTTTTACACCAAAAAAGGCTAAATACTACCACACTGTGGCTGTCAGTTCTCGATTTTTATGACCTTGCAATCAACTTATCATTACCGTAATCAGTTGAGGTATACCCACGCAGACAAAATCTGTTATTCTTCAATTTACAAAAGTATGCGCAATATTTTGTAGTGTGGGTCAGTGGGTGATGTCGCTCGTAGGGGTGTAAACGAGCCGAGCCGACTCGTGCGTAAAAAGCTCGAACTCGAACTCGAGATTTTCGAGCTCGAGCTTTCTGACGAGCCGAGCTCGAGCTGGTTTTCAGTTGTTCATGAGCTCGCGAGGCGGATTTTTTATTATTTTTTTATTTTTTATACAATTTAGTTTTTATTTTCTATTTTTTAAATAATTTTTAATAATAAAATAATAATTAAAAAAATATTAAAAAAAATAAATAAAAAAAAAGACAATGGGCTCGAGCTCGAGCTCGACAAAATTGACACGAGCTCGAGCTCGAGCCAAAAAAAGAGGAGCTCGACGAGCTCGAGCCAGCCAAAAAAGGCGAGCTCGGCTCGTTTACACCCCTAGCTCGCACGCTTTATGCATGTCGAAGTTTACTATCAAATTTCCAATCAATTTGCAGCCAAATTTCACAAGTTTGTTGTCAATTTTACAAGTTCGGTGTAACATCTCAATAATTTTTTAAAAAGAATCGTTGTCAAATTTCAGTACATTTTTTCATAAGTTCAGCATCAAAGTTGGCTACAATATATATTACAAAATATTACTCTAATTTTCATAAGTTTAGTTGTGCGTGTGCAGCAATTAAAAAAATATTAAATCATATTAAAATTAAAAAGATAGTCAAACCATAATCCTTGTAAAATATGTGTGAATTAATAATAAATATTTACTGGATTTTACATCACATAGTATAGTATCAATTTAACAAGAATAAACATAAGAGGAAATATTTAAATAAAAAATCAAATAAAAAAGGAAATAATCTGAATTGATCACTGATATATTATCTTTTGATAAATTATTATATTGGACTAAATAATTATGGACCGGGCCCATAATTATTTAGTCCAATATATGGTCCATAGTGATGCTACCAACTATTTTATAAGTCCAGAGTATATAAAAAACGATTCCGTTTGACGTAAGTAATTAATTAAGTAAAAATTAGTGAAAAGAAAATGACTCATGGAAAAATAAAATTTCTTACTCAAAAAAAAAAAGAAAAATAAAATTTCGTATACAAAGGGCAAGTAGATTCTTGGTCCCAACATATAAAATTCTTCATTTGACCCAATCATTTTATTAAAATTATGTTTGATAACAATTGTTTTAACTGCCTCTCGAATTCGATAGGCCAAGATAAATAATTGAACGGAAAACATTGAATAGTTGATATATAATCCAAAAACTTAAAAAGTAATTTCCATTCCATTTGATTTTTTTTAGTAATACTAAAATTCCAAAGACAATTTTTAAAATATTTTTTTAGAGCCAATTTTTTTTTTTTTTGACTAATTTCATAAGCACTTGAAGGAAAACAAGAAAATGGGCTTTATTCCATTTTGCACCCTCAAAATATACCATTTTAGCACTTTGCATCCTCAAAATATGTTTAATTATTCAAAGTGCACGCACTCTATTTTCTAGACATAATTTTCTTTCGTTTACTTATTTTCTGATCGTCAACATGGCCATTTTTGCCTATTCAATTAATTTTTTCTTCAAGAGTGCAAATTGCTAATGTTCTTTCGAGCGATGTTGACTATCATAATTTCGGTCAAAGACAGAAATTCTCTGGCCGAAAAATAAACTAGGGTGCAAAATGAACGATTAAACATGTTCAAAGGGTTCAAAGTGTCATAAATTATTTTCAAAGGTGCAAAGTGGCAAAATGGTACATTTTAAGAGTGCAAAGTGAAATTATATATACTATTTACAGAGTATATAAAATACAATGAAAACGACGCCGCAGCTCACGGTAGCCGTCGGAATGGTAGTTGACCGTTAAATTCGTCAGCCAGAGTGAATTCTGTAGTACTATACCGCCCTTTTCAGCTGTCCCTACTTTCAAATTAATCTAACCCCAAATTCTTCTTTCTTCATTAAAAACCACAATTAGGGTTCCTCAACATAGTTTTCTCCGATGCACCAACACAACAATAAATACACCATTCCATATATACACACACAGCCAGCGTCAAAACCTAATCTTTTTTTTTTTTTTTTAATTATTTATTTTTTCAATTTCTTGTAGAGTCCGAAAATCTTGACAGACTATACATACAAAAATATCGACGGCCCATCCTAAATAAATAAAACACACCACCCCCTTTTCACTAGTCCCTTTAATTATTTTTATTTTCTTGATTGTTTGAATTCAATTTTTTTTTCAAGGAAAAAAAAAATTATGGCTGGTGTGGGAGATTTAGCACTAAAATTTGGTGGGTTGATGAAAAAATATGCGGTTTTTAATCCCAAACAGGGTGTTTTCGGTGTCCCTATTTCGAGTTATGGAGTTTGTCTGAATACTAGGAAGTTTGTTAGAGCTTCTAATTCAAGAATTGGGGTTCAAGCAGTGATGCAAGTAGGAGTGGAAAGTTCGGAACTTTCTCGAGATTCGAAGAGTTTCGAAGGGGTTTTGGGTTTCGATGTGGTTTCGGAAGTCGAATTGAGGGAGAAGGGTTTCTTGGGGATGAGGAAGACGAAGCTCGTGTGCACCGTGGGCCCCGCTTGCTCGTCTTTGGAGGATTTAGAATGTGGCTAGGCTTAATATGTGTCACAACACTAGGGAATGGCATCAGGATGTAATTAGGAAGATCAAGAAGTTGAATCAAGAAAAGGGATATTGTGTTTCTTTGATGATTGATACCGAGGGGAGTCAAATTCATGTTGTTGACCACGGCGCACCTTCCTCTGTCAAAGCAGAGGTAAAATCGAGTTTTTTTTTTTTTCGTCGGATTTTTTTAATATTTTTTTTAGTGTTTGAATGAAGAAACTAATTATTGTAATTTTTGTTTTATGGTGGTGAAAATGTTGATTGAATTTTGTTAGGATGGCTCGATTTGGTTCTTTACCGATGAAAAGTTTGAGGGCACGCGCCCGTTTACAATTCAAGCGAATTACGAAGGTTTCGCCGAAGGTTTGACGAAATTAAATTAGTGATTTTTTATTTGTTATTTTTATTTTTTTCGGAGTTTCTGAGAAATGTTTTTTGGGGGCTATTTTAAGGTATTAATGTGGGAGATGAAATTGTATTCGACGGTGGAATGGCAACTTTCGAAGTGGTAGAAAAAATCGGAAATGATTTACGTTGCAAGTGCACGGACTCTGGCTTGCTCTTGCCGCGGGCAAAACTGAGCTTTTGGAGAGATGGAAAACTCGTTAGCAAAAATCACGAACTTCCAACTTTATCATCTAAGGTTAGAAACAATCATCAAATAAATCGAATTTAATAACCATATGATTAACGGATATTCTAAATCAAGTGCCGTATATACAGGACTGGTCCGACATTGAATTCGCGATTTCCGAAGGAGTTGACTTTATCGCCATGTCGTTTGTCAACGATGCCGATGCTGTCACGTATCTCAAGAATTACCTCTCCACTAAATCCATCAAGTAAAATTAAAATTACTCGTCGCTAATACACATCTTTAATTAGTTTGCTTATTTTAGACCAAATTTTGTTGATTTTTTATTTATTTATTTCGTAGATCGATAAAAGTGTTGGCAAAGATAGAGAGTTTAGAGGCTCTTCGTAAATTGGAAGAAATCGTGGAAGCTTCCGATGGAATAATGATAGCACGAGGAGATCTTGGAGTCGAAATCCCGTTAGAACAAATTCCAACGGTGCAAGAGGAGATTACTTACGTGTGCAGACAGTTGAACAAGCCGGTCGTTGTTGCTTCTCAGCTTCTAGAATCTATGGTCGAATATCCTACTCCCACAAGAGCCGAGGTAATTTTTTCCTTTTTCTCTTATAATTTTTTTTCGAGATAGTTTGGTAAAAAAAAATTGACGAGGATAAAAAGAAAACACACACACACACACATATATATATATATATATATATATATATATATATATATATATATATATATATATATATATAGAGTAGAACTAGAACCTCAATAAATTAATACTCGATAAATTAATAAACTCGCTTAAATAATAGTTTCTTCTGGTCCCGACTCGGTAAAAACCTACTAAATTATTAGTTCGATAATTTAATATTTCGCTAAATTAATAGAATTTTGCTAGTCCCGACTGTATAAATTTATAGAGGTTTAACTGTATTATTTCATAGGTGGCAGATATTTCTGAAGCGGTTAGACAATATGCGGATGCGCTGATGCTATCTGGAGAATCGGCAATTGGGCCGTACGGGCAGAAGGCACTATCTGTGCTGCGATTGGCTAGTAGTCGAATGGAACTTTGGAGTCGTGAGGAGAAAGGGCAAAATGGTCTTTTCCAGCATACAAATATCGGAGTTTCTTTGCCGGATAAAATTGCCGAGCAGATCTGCAATTGTGCTGCTGGAATGGGTACGTTTTTCGTCTTGTTCGACTTTTTTCTCTAATTCATCAAGAAAATATACAAAAAAAAAAAAAAAAAAAAAGAAAATTCAAGTCGAAATCGCACCTTAATTTGTAGTTTTATTTCTTAGATATTTATTACATACGCGTCTTGAACAATTTGTTATGTCGTATGATTTTGACAGCAAACAACCTAGGACTCGACGCGATATTCGTGTACACTCGACATGGACAAATGGCGTCTTTGATATCCAGAAACCGGCCGAACCCTCCGATATTCGCGTTCACAAACGACACCAGCACAAGGATGGCGCTCAACTTGCAGTGGGGCGTTACTCCGCTTCTCGTCGAACTCTCCGACGACATGGAATCCAATATTGAAAAATCCATTCATCTTATAAAGAACAAAGGTCTGATCAAGAATGGGGACACCGTTTTGATCGTGTCGGATATTATTCCGACTTTCACTGCACAAACCGTGTTTCAGTCGGTTCAGGTGAAAACTATCTCGTAAGCCAAAAAACGAGCCCTTGTACTGATTTTGAAAGGCGAATAGAAGACCGATGTTGAATTTTCTTTTTGATTTACCGGCACTTTCTCAATTTATCGGGCAATGTTTATAGTTTGATTTCATAAGGTTTAATTTACGTAACATTTTAATTGTTTTGAGATTCTTTGATCAATTTCAACACATTAAATCGTACATTTCATTGAGTTTGAAGAACACGTCGAATATAAATTAATTTTTTTTAAAGTGTTCGGTATTTTGTCGAGAAAAAACGATCTTATATTTCGTTTTCCTTTTTTCCGTAAACATATATATCAATACCACAGACCCTACCGACCGATGAGCTTTATCGGCTGTATCGTTTAATTAGTATAATAATCGATATTTGATAAGGATTAAGCTAAACTAATCTTGTACCTATAATTTAGACTTTTAGAATTTTATAACCTTAAAAATAAAGAATGACAAATCTAGGTGTTGACATATGACCTACTCCATATTTAAGCTAATCAAGGAACTCTATTATAACTAATTAATAATTATTACATTATTTATTTATTTTTTAATTTCATTTTTTTTTCTGATTTTTATCAAGCGTTGAAATTCCTATTTACTTGATTCACGTGTGGGAAAGTTTTCAAGAAGCACAAACAGCTTACCTGCAAAATTGTTTTGGAAGTTTGCACTCTGCAGTGAAAAAAGAAAATGTGCATTCAATTTTTATTGTGCAAAATATATTTATAAGAGGGACCAGTTGGAAAGAACATCATAGACAAAAGAATATAAGATTTAGTCAGTATTTTAAATATTAAGTAGATCTTCCTAGAAAATGATGCCAATATATATATACACTATATTTAAATTACATTATTATGCTATGGTTTTCTTTAAATTGCATTAAAGCCCCTTATATTTTCAATATAAACACATAACCGCCCGTGTAGTTCGAATTTTATGCACATGATCCATTGAATTCTTAATATAAGCACATACCTCCATGTGTTATTCCTTCCACATGGTAAATAATTATTCTCAATTTCTCATTAGGAAGATAATTTTTTTGAAAGTACGAGGGCGTTATGTGCTTATATTAAAATACAAGGGGATCATATATGCTATATTAAAAGTACAAGGGTGTCATGTGTATAAACTTCAAAACACATAAGGGTTAAGTATTATTTACCTTTTTTTTTCTTTTTCTTTTTTAATAAAAGAAATCACGGTCACAATATTGATATTATTATACCCGACTAGTTGATCAACTAATTATTATTATCTTGGAAATGATTAAATGAATGTTTAATTGTTAATTAAAAGAAATGTCGGACTATTAAATTCATTCTAGTTGCAGTAATCTAGAGATCAACGATCACAGATGCTGCCACGTCAACCAACCCATTATCGTACGGCTCTAAACAATCAAGCTCCTACTTTCCTATTGTAGCCACAGAAAGCCGCCAGAAAATCTCGCGCATATTAGCCCACGACAGCCAACCGTTTCTAAAATACGCCAAGGGGGGTTTCTACCCCCCCTAAAATCGAGCTACCCTCACTTTCACTTCACTCTTGGTCACACATTCACGCCTCTCTCTCCTCTCTCTTTCTCTCTCTAACGTAACGAAACTCCCCTCCACCTGATAATTTACTCATCAACCTTGAACAAAATCTACAATTTCGTATTCGATTTTTCGAATTTCCAGAAATTTTCAATGGCGTGCGTTCAGCTATTGAAACCAAGCCCATCGAATTCGCAGAAGAAATTGCGGTGTTTCTGCTCGGAATTCAATTCCATGGCGTCGCAGAAAAGTAGTATCGGGCTTAAAAAATCAGGAATTGTATCTCGGTACAGGAGGTTTAGGGTTTCCTGCAAGGTTGAAGACGGTGATAGAAAAGGCAAAGGTAAAAAAATTCAGCTATTTTTACTGTCTAACAATCGATTCGAATCACTTGTTATGTTAGAAATGAAAAAAAAATTAAAAATTAAAAATTCAGAACCTTGATCAGGAACTGTGTAAATTGCTGTAGGTTTGAGCTAAATTGAGTTACTATAATGGCAAAATATATTGACAAAGGAAACATCAGAATAATGAATAGGATAAGGCATATCCTAAAATATGAGGGTTTACCTTATTTGATGAGTTTTAGTTAAGCTTCACTTTGCTGCAACTGGAATCGAAGAGAAGTAAACCGAGGTTTTTTACGGTTGTCTGTTTCATTATTATATATATACACCTGTGGATGTCAAGGTTGATCTTGCCTAATGCGCGCGCGCGTGTGTGTGCGTAATTGTTTGTTTTCAAATTTCATTGCGGATTGAGGTAGATGTTGCAATATATTTTGTGTGCAGGCGAAGAACCTCCGGAGTCGTTATTTATGAAAGAACTAAGGAGAAGAGGGATGACACCAACTTCTTTGCTCGAGGAGAAGAATCGAAGCAGTAATGAAGAAGAGGAGATAAAGTTCAGGGAAGAAGATGGCGGTTGGAGTTATTCTAGAAGAAACGGTGTCACGACTGGTGCTGAAGCTGACCTATCTAATCAAAGGGAAAAGTCTATGGCACTTAATAGCGAAGGTCTTGAGGTCGGTCGATTCGATTTCAGTTTCTATTCAACTAATGGACCAGTTAAAAAAACTGAATAATAGCGAATATATAATGGTTTTTATTTATTTATATCTACAAAAAAAAAAAAAAAAAAAAAAAAAAGAGATTCTTCCACTATATAACTATTCTCAATTTATTCGACTTAGTGACTAACTTTGCCTTTTAGTTTGGTACTAAGTGCTTTATTTTTTAGATATATTTTTTAAGTGAAGTAGTGCTTGTCTAACTTATGATTCTGATGTTTGATTTCATTTTATTATTTCCTCTAATACAGGGTTTGATACCACGGGCCCGACTTTTGCTTACTTTGGGAGGAACCTTTTTTCTTGCATTTTGGCCGTTGATTCTGGCAACTGTTGCATCTTTCACTGCCGTGTATCTGGTAAGTTCAATTACTAGATTCTCGATGAGTTGATATGAATGGCCCCTTTGCTTTTAAGATTTTTCGTTTCCTTTTCTGAAGCATTCGGTTTAGCTATCGTATGTTCAATTCGGTTCTTATCAGACCATCTGCAAGTACATATATACCATTAGATAATTTTACTTATGTTCAATTTTTTGTCTGAAGTTGGAATTACTTATTGTTGTCGTTTCTTATTACTTATCTTGTATTCATTAAAGTTTTCGTCATTTGATGGATAAAATGCAACTTATGCATTACTGAAGCTATATACATACAGCACGATTGACCATAATCTGACCCCGTCTTGTGCAGTACTTTGGAGCAGAATTTATACACGATGGGACTGATGCTCCAGTTTCTATGCCTCAGTATGTTGACCCGTATGCACTACTTGAAGGAGACAGGATATATAAAACAGCTCCTCTTTTAAATTGAAGGACTAGGCAACTTCATGTATAGCACTATAGCAGCAATTCCAGTGTAATCAAAAGATTCTGTTTTTCTTTTCCTTTCCGCCTTCTCTTTTCCTTCTATATTATATGTAAATCTCCGCATCAGTGACATGTGTTCATTTACTTCAAATTATGCCTCGCGTTTTTATACTCATATTACTGTTTTGCAAATCAGAGGCAATTTTGAAAGTTTAAATGTCGATAAGATGACATGCCTCTGAGCAAAAATGTACGCATCTTTCCTTAGGAATGCATCATCTGTGAAGTGTGAATCGTGATTGGTAGTGCCTGCGGGTACCGGTGGGGATTTTATGGGGTGGGTTCGGGGATCCCAATTCACTAAATTTGGGGATTTTGACAGGGATGGGGAATTCTAGAGTGGGGCGAGGATTGCAAAACCCGCCGCATACCCACCCAATTGCCATCCCTAATTGGTACACTAGAAACTAAAAATTGTTGTCAAATCTATGAGTGCGTTTATTTTCATCGGAAAGTCGCGAAAGCAGAATCCATTTCAATCATCAGGCTCTCGAGTAATTTTTGGATCCAGAATGAAGAGAAATTTATTCAAATACATGTAATGGTTCAACAATTCGGATACTAGAAGTAAAATTCATAGTCATAGTGCAAGTAATACTTAAACAAACCAGGAGAAACAAGAATCGAGAAAAAGTCGAACAAACCTCAATAATCCTCCTCACCATCATCACCATCATCCTCAGTGCCCACAGCACCAACCTCCTCATAATCCTTCTCCAGCGCAGCAAGATCTTCCCTCGCCTCCGAGAATTCCCCTTCCTCCATTCCCTCACCCACATACCAGTGCACAAAGGCCCGTTTGGCGTACATGAGATCAAACTTATGGTCAATCCTCGAAAACACCTCAGCCACACTAGTCGAATTCGAAATCATGCAAACAGCCCTCTGCACCTTAGCAAGATCACCGCCCGGTACCACAGTCGGCGGCTGGTAATTGATACCGCACTTAAAACCCGTGGGGCACCAGTCCACAAACTGGATAGTCCGTTTAGTCTTGATGGTTGCCACAGCTGCATTCACATCTTTAGGCACTACATCTCCACGGTACATCAAACAGCAAGCCATGTATTTGCCATGACGTGGGTCACACTTAGCCATCATTGAAGAGGGCTCGAACGCACTGTTGGTAATTTCAGCTACGGAAAGCTGTTCATGGTATGCTTTCTCTGCTGAGATTACAGGTGCGTATGAAGAAAGCATGAAGTGAATTCTTGGGTAAGGTACTAAGTTGGTTTGGAATTCGGTCACATCCACATTAAGTGCTCCGTCGAATCTTAGAGATGCGGTCAACGAAGAGATCACCTTTAATTTCGAAAAGAGTGTTATTAAATTGATGGACAAGAATATGAAAACGGGGGGGGGGGGGGGGGGGGGGGGGGGGGAAATTTTTTTTTTTTTTTTTTCCAGAAAAAAAAGGGGGTTGAGGTTTTTTTAAAGGGGCCTTTTAATTTTAAGGGAGCGTCTGCAGATGTCGTATATGGCTTCGTTGTCGAGGAGTATGGCGACATCTGTGTGTTCGAGGAGGGAGTGAGTGGAGAGAACACTGTTGTAAGGCTCCACTACAGATGTGGAGACCTGTGGGGAAGGGTAGACTGTGAAGCCGAGCTTTGACTTTTTGCCATAGTCAACGGACAAACGTTCGAGAAGGAGGGAACCTAAGCCGGAACCTGTGCCTCCACCTACTGCGTTGAAGACAAGGAACCCTTGGAGCCCTGTGCAATTGTCTGCGAGCTTTCTTATTCGGTCTAGACATAGGTCAACTATCTCTTTCCCAACTGCAAGTGCCCAATTTTAAAAAGTGAATTGTCTGTATAACATAATAAAAAAAACATAGAAAAAAAAATTAGAAAAAAAATAAATATTACGACTTACTTGTGTAGTGGCCACGTGCGAAATTGTTCGCAGCGTCTTCTTTGCCACTGATGAGCTGCTCGGGGTGGAAGAGTTGTCGGTAAGTTCCAGTCCTGACTTCATCAATTACGGTTGGTTCGAGATCAACGAAGATTGCACGTGGGACGTGTTTTCCAGCACCGGTTTCACTGAAAAAGGTGTTGAATGCATCATCACCTCCTCCAACTGTTTTATCACTTGGCATTTGGCCATCGGGCTTGAGTGGAAAACGAAAGAAAGAAAAAGGAAAATGTCAGTCCAACTTTCCTTTTTGGCTAACATTGAAATAACGAAATAAACAGCAAAATGATATAGTGATGACTTTCTGAAACACGACACTTCTTGAACAATCCAAGATGACTAACAGCAGTCAGAATAATTACAAATTTCCATTATAAACTTCAATTCTGGAGAAAACAAATGATATAGTGATGTATGATCAAAAAGGATATTAGTGCTATATTTGAGAATGACGAAGCATAACTTCAAAGCAATAACACAAGCCAATCGAATCCGAACTAACAGATTGTTCACAACCTACAATTTTTCATTATGCCTTAAATCTTTGTTCCAATAACAAATGCTGAAATTTTTTAGATCAGGACATTCAGCCATGAATCTAAATGAACCACAAGGCTGGCATGAAAAAAGATAAAGCAGTGATATACTATCCTATTAATCAGATCACACAGATCTATGTTTCCACATTCTTTTCTTCGACTGACTTAAAATCGATAAATTCAGTAAATCAAGACACAAGTATCCTCGATCAAAATAGATACACCTTATCACAGAACAAAAAAATGCAATAAATGAATACTTAAAATCATCACTTCAAACATTCATCGATCAACGACATAATCGAAACACTAATGAAATGATCTTCTAATTCAACATGCATATGTTCAAAGCACCGATCCAGAAATGGATATACCATACAAAATATGCATTTCCACAATCAAATTAACAGATCTAATCAATTGCCTCCGAAATTCCCAAACATCAAAACTTATACGCTTATATCGATCGATACACATGGAAAATGCAAACACATACATATCCGGTGAATAGGCTGAATGAAATTGAAACGGAGTTTACCTGAATGCCGTGCTCAAGGCAATAAAGCTCCCAGCACGAATTCCCAACCTGGATACCGGCCTGGCCAATGTGAACGGAGATGCACTCTCTCATTTTCAATCGGAATCGAAATTCTCAGGGCGGCGAAGAATGCACAAATCGGCGGCGAAGAAGGCACAAATCGGCAGCGAATCAGGGAAAGAAAGATGGAGGTGGGGAGGATTTTTCTCAGCGGCGTTTATCAAGACGCCTTTTCTCGACGGAGAATGGTTGGGAAGCTTTAGGGGTGGGTATTTATAGGGGAAGTAGCGGGAGTTAACCAGGGTTAAGATTTTTGAAATGAAACGGACGGCTGAGATATGATCCTGATGGTTGGATGGGACCTGGCCTATTTAATTTTTCTAACCATGGTTGCGAGATTTTCGTTTTTCTTTAAATTTGAAAAAGAAAATAATAATTGCCGCCTGATTGAGATCATATTTCGGTGGATTCTACCTTCGAATTCAAGCATCAATTGGCATCTTCTGCTTACTAGAAAATGACATTTTGGGTGGGACTAGCCGAACTCGAGCTCTACCAGTATTTATTTTTGGGCTCAAGCTCGAGCCTGAGCGATTTTGTGTTTTTTTTATGAATATTATTAGAATTTTATTATTATAAACCATTATAAAAAAATCTAAAAAAATGACCGGTAATCTATTTCTTTGATAAATTTTAGGGTTAACTGCAAAAAATCCCCTAAACTTTGGACGTTTTTGCGCTTTACCCCCTAAACGGAAAAAAGTTGCACGGGCATACCTGAACTTGTCAAATTGTAGCACCGACGAATAAAAAGTCTATTTATAGCCAAATTTCTGCCGGAATTGCACACGTGCAACTCACACGTGACAGTAAAAGGGCAATTTCGTCGATTCACAAGATTTTAGATAAAAGAATAAAAAAAAAAAGAGAAAAGAAAAACAAAAAAAAAAAAAAAAAAAGCCCACCCAACCTCTTCTTCGTCTCCCTCGTGCTGCAAATCAGGGGAAGCAGGATTTTTCACGCCACCGCCACCGCCACCACCATCTCTCTCCACCACCTCAAATTATCATATTGAATTAGTAAAAGTTTAATATGAAAAATCCCTGATCTCAAAATAAAAAGAAAAAGAAAAAAGCAAAGAAATAGGACCATCTGCACTGCAACTTTTTTCTCTTCATCGATTTCCAGTGATGATGTCATCGATGATTGAGATGGCGAGGTATGATGATTGGATGTCGAATTCTTCTTGTTGAGCTCGACATTCATGACCCAGTGCGAGCTGGAACGAATACCCCTATCCCTATGTTAGAACTGTGATGGCTTGCAGCACTTCATGAGCTTTGCTCCTACATCCGAGGGTATTCTTGTCTTATCGCAGTTGGAGTCTTGATTGTTTTCTGGGAGAGGGAAGTTTGTCTTTGCCTTTTGTCCACTCATTAAAGTGGCTGCTTCATCATATGCCCTTGCTGCTGCAACTGTTGTGTCAATTTGTTTTTTAAAAGAGACATGCTCCGTCTTCTTCCTCTCTCCGGCGCCGCATCACCACCACCACCAACATCGCCACCTATACTAACGCCTAAGCCTCCACCGACTCCACCTTCAATTCCTCCATCGTCACCTCCAACTCCACCACCAATTCCTCCACCAACACCTCGTCCAAATGTCCAATTCATCCGCCTATACCCAACAGCCCCTCGCTACGCCGCCGCGGCCAATTTCTTTTCTAAAACCACCACCACCACCAAATCTGCCGCAGGCAGATTTAAGAGTACAAATTCCCTCACATTCAATTAGCGAATTTCAAAAGGATGACCGCCGGATTACGTGAGTCTAGGGATCACCGCCAATCGACGGCGATATGGATGGTGGAGAGTTTTTCTCATCTGGTGAATGGGAGGTTTATGCCTCTATTTCCGGTGGGTCGCGAAGCAGAGGCGGCGGAGGGTTTCAAAGCAGGCGATAGAGGGTCATGAAGAAGGCAATCGGCGAGTTAGAGGCGGTGGGCGGCGGACGGTGGGCGGCTGAAGAAGGACGGTAATTTGGTTTTGGTGGTGGTGACGTGAAGAAGATGAAAAAAAAATTCTTTTTCTTTTTCTTTTTCTTTTTTTATATTTATTAAAAAAGAAAGAAAATAGGTGTAAGAGGAAAAGACATATTTATCCCAGTTCAAATCATGTGTTTCTCACATGGTGTGGATTCCGGTCTATTTTTGCTAAAAATGGATAATTTCTGCTCTGGTGCTACAAATTAGTAAGTTCAGGTATGCCCGTGCAACTTTTTTCCGTTCAGGGGATAAAGTGCAAAAACGTCCAAAGTTTTGGGGATTTTTTGCAGTTAACTCTAAATTTTATGAACTTATTATTTATTTTATGTTAATTATATTAAAAAAAAATTAAAAAAATAAATCATGAGACGGCTCGGACTCGACTTGACAGACAGCTCGAGCGCAAAAAAATTGAGTTCGAGTTCGAACTTTTATCGAGTAGGCTCAGCTCATTTACATCCCTACATCTGGGATAATGCATTAACATTAACAACTCAACTAATAGGAAAATTCAATTACAATCCAAACTTTGGTCTCATTTCTTTTTCTATTTTTCTATTTTTCTATTTTTTATTTATTAAGTAATATTATAATTTGTGTGGCAACTGGCAAAGATTGTGAAAATACAAATAAAAGAATGCCTGAAAAAATGACACAACAACTGCCTCACAAAGATAACTTAAGAGCACATGAAATGTCTACACAAACAGACTTCTTCTTACAACTAATATTTTCCCCTGTTTGTTTATTTATGAATTATGAGAAGTAGGGCCCTGATACGGGCCAGTTTGACGAATAACAAATAAGCGTAAGCCCATTAGGATAAGCCCAGTATGATAGGCCCACGACGAAGAGCCCACGATGAATTAGCTCGAAGTTATGGGCGAAGTCGCTGTATGGTGCAAACCTCGGGAACCATATGGGAATACCTTAACTCGCCAGCCCAATACCAAAACGAGGTAGGGCGAGCCCATGGCAATACAGGCCCAAGATATGTGACTTGAGGGTAAGGAGAAACCCTAAAAAAGGAAAGCCTTGAAGGCCAAGTTTTCTCCATCTATAAATAGAAGGATCATCACACATACACACACACAGGATATACACCATTTTTACTGTTACATTGCATATAATTATTCTTCTATTCCAATCACTGACTTGATCGTCGGAGCTCTCCCGCCGGGAACCCCTCCCGGCGTTGCAGGTATCACCACCGGAGTACGTACGGAAGTTGACTTGAGGAAGACGAAGCCCCACGGACTAAATCAAGTGGCGCCGTCTGTGGGAAAGATCTAAGAATCTTGGGAACAACTTCCGGGAAAATATCGGATCTACCCCCGGAAGTCCAGATCTGAGCTATCAACGTAGAGAACAATGGAAGAAGGAGATACCACTGCCCGGAATTTGCAGAAAGATTTAGACGCAGCAGCTCGCGATACGCCGACTGATCCATCGTCCGTTCTGAAAGACAGGTCGGGGTGTAGCTTACTTACACCCGAAAAGGAAGGCCGGATCCCTTTCATCTCAAGTAGCCCCTCCTTCGAGTTCCAAGATGGCGAGGCTGCTTCGAGAAGGCCAGTCACGGCCCCAGCTCAAACTCCCCATGAGCGCACATATACCCGAGATGAGGTAGAAGCCATGATCGCCGCAGCCATTCGGAACTACACACAAAATTTACCTCAAGATAACCGACCCAAGAGGGATCTCAGACGCTCCCAGAACGAAGGGCGAGCTGAGGACGAATGCGATAGCTATTCAGAGAATCGAGGAGGCAATAGTCATGGCGTCAGAACGGAAGTTGACAGCTTAAGGCGCGACATAGATGAGTTGAAGGCCCTGCGAAGTGGGCCGACGCGAGATCTCGCGGGATCTAGCCCTTTCGCAAGGCATCTCGATAGCGACCCTATACCAGCTAATTACCGACCGATCCTGTTCGAGTATAATGGCACGACGGATCCAGCCGAGCACCTAAGTCGGTTCAACAACACCGCGTCACTCCACCAGCTCACAGAGGGAGTGAAGTGCCGCGCCTTTGTCACCACTTTAGCAGGACCGGCTCAGGCATGGTTCGACTTGCTACCTCCCGGAACCATACGATCTTTTGAACAACTTGCCAAAGCTTTCATGAATCAATTTGCTAGCTCGAAGAAGTGCAAGAAGACCTCTCTGTCGTTATTCAGCATTCGTCAGAAGGAGAAGGAAAGCCTCAGAAACTACATTAAGCGATTTACTTCGGCCACCTTAGAAGTCCCCACCACCAGCGACGAGGTGCTCATGGCAGCCCTCTCACAAGGACTAAGAGATGATGAGTTTTTCCGAGCTTTAGCGCTGGAACCTTCGCCCGATTTTGATAATCTTCTAGAAAGGGCATCTAGGTTCATTAACTTAGAAGAGGCCCGCCAGCAGAAAGTGGAAGAATCTCACCAAGTCGCGAACGCACGAGTTAACGAAGTAAAGAGAGGCAAGGAGCCCGTGGTACCTCGAAGAGATGCTAATACCCCCAGTCGGGGTACTGCCCCGGATACTAAGGGATCTCGATACCAATCCTATCAGCCCCTTACAGCCCTTTGTCCTATGTGTTGTGCGCAATTGAGAAAAGAGCTGATCTGCGATGGCCTCGGACCGCTCGCGAAGCCCCTCGCCGAAATCCCGCATTGGGCACCTTTTGTCGTTTTCATAATGAATATGGACACGTGACGGACGACTGTTCGCATTTGAAAGATGAGGTGGAGCGTCTTATCAGGGATAACAAAATCGGGGACTTCGTGAAGATAGACTCCCCCCGAGGACAAAAGCGTGAAGCTCAATTCGGAAATCCTGCACGAGTCCCGCCTCCTCCACCGATACCCAAACGAGGATACATCCAGATGATTTCGGGAGGACCTACGGGAGGAGACACTCACCGAGCTAGGCGACGTCATCTTGGTAACCTCAAGAATAACCATGAAATCTGCCAAATCTCCGCACCAAAGCACCGTCAATATCCCACCATCTCGTTCGGACCTGAGGACGAAGCAGATCTCGATGACTTTCACTGCGACCCCCTCCTTATCACAATCAACGTCGGAGGATACGATGTAGCCCGTGCCTTCATTGACTCGGGGAGTTCGGTTGATGTCATATCTTACGAATGCTTCCTACAAATGGAACTTGATCTCCCAATCTTCCCAGTCACCACCCCGATATTTGGGTTCAC